CGCGAAATCAAATCGTTGTACGAGGGCCTGACAAAGAATGGACTGAATTGATGGGGATGTGTAGGTAGAACTCGCGCTAGACGAATAGTGTTTAGTTTACTAACATATCCAAAATAATAGTAGACCCCGGCTTCGTTTCGCAGTTATTGTTTCGCTAGTTCGAGACTGACTGGAATATGACTACAATTTATCACTACTATCTTCGATAGAACGACCAAGGATGTCGAAACTATTTCTAGCAGCAACTAGCTCCCCAAGCATGTATCATTATTATGTGCTTATATTCAGTTTGACCGTAAATTTCCACCTCAACCCGAAAAATGAATTTGGAAGCAAAATACTCATACAACGCAGTCAGTAGTATTCAGGAGGTGGCTGAGCAGTTCCAGCACCCTTCTGCATATTCACCTCCCGTTCACTATGCGGCAGTCCTTCCTTTTCCCTTGTGGAATGACTGAAATCTCCAGTATGCATTTCTTTTTGGCCTTCCTTGACGACACGTTCATTCTTTGCAGCACCCTCTGGATCGTTCATGGCTCGGTCAACAAATGCACCAGCAGAGCCACGGACCCTCTCGCCAAATCCCTATATTACCCATATTCCTCAGTCTTCATGTCTGCTATGTTTCAATTGATTTTTGACTCACATGAGCACCTGCAGCAGCAGACTTTACTCCCTGACCCATTTCCCGAACTGACTCTTTTGCTGCACCGCCTCCAGCACGGGTAGGATCTGTAGCTCCAGCGCCGGCAGTACCAGCTCTACCAGCTTGATTTCCACCACTGACACCACCCGAAAATCCTCCAGACGTTTCAGAAGACATTACTGATAGGAAATGTTTTGCGTAATAATTGAAGTGTAGTGTGATGTAGCACTTTACAGACAATAACCTGAGATCCATTTGATCCTCTTATATAGATGTTTGAGCCGTCAGCTATGACGTCACTAAGCCCAGTTCCAAGTTCTATCAAGGACGAGCATGGCGTCTTATTGAATGAACGTATTGCCCTTAGCTAGCCGTTACAGCGCCTCGATCCCCATCCTAACGCTTGCTTGCAAAGCTTGGTCCCTTTGACTCTGTAGCTAGTGGTTGAAGGATCGCAGAAATGGATGCTTGGGATGGAGAGGCGGCTGGGTCACGTGCTTTGGCGCCTGCCGCGTGTTTTTTGACGCGAAATCTCGCTTAAGTCAACGTCTTCGTTAGCTCTCGCAAACCATCTACTTGCGAAGATAGCAGCAAGTTTGGTGAGTCTGGAAATCTGCAGTTGCATGCGGATTCTATATTACTGTCTCATTCTTTGAACTCTTATATACCCAGTATATAATCCATCTAGCTATCTGTACTTTCGTGTTTGTGCGCATATCGGGGGTAGACGGTTGCCTACATCATGCAGTTGTTCGAGTCAATCCATAGGCTGCGCTACCGGATTGGACATGGGGTTTAACTTTTCTTATATATGCGACTTGCTTTCGAGCTTGGATGCAAACCGAACTATAAAGGCCACGGCTACCGGCAAAAGCAGGGATCCTGATGTGGCAACTGTGACCAATTGGTTCCGTGTTCACGAGAAGAAAATTCACGGAGGAGATACTGACTACGTGGCTTTACTCTCGTGCCTTTTCCCCGAATTACGGCCTGACCGCGTTCATGGCTTCAAAGAGCCAGCCTTAGTTAAAATTATAGGGCGATGTTTATTGCTTGGAGCTACTCGATGGCGGGAGCTGGAGGCATGGAAGACTCCGGGCCGCGGCGATCTTGCCGAATGCGTCGAGCGAGTTATGGCTGACGCAGAGAACGAATTATTAAAGGACTCTCCTGTGACTGTCGAGGAAATAGATTCTGCGTTGACTAAAATCGCGTCCAGATGCCGCTTCTCCGCTCCAGATGTGCGCCGCCAGCGTACTGCTATTCAGGTAGATGAAGCCTTAAAACCGATATTTCGCCGATTAACTAGCCGTGATGCGAAATGGTTTACTAGGCTGCTTCTCAGGGAATACACTCCTGTTAATATTCCACAGCGATTGTCCCTGCGAAAGTTTCATTTCATGCTTCCGGCCTTTCTTTCGGTACAGAGCAGCCTAAAGGGGGCCTTGGAGGCAATGGATCGCGGACCAGTCAAGAGGTTCCCACCATGCCCTGATCCAGAATATGGGCGGACTCTTATGGAATTAGCTATTCCTCATCTTGCTCCACAGGTTGGAGTCAAGGTTGGGAGGCCGGAGTATTATAAGGCTAGAAACCTCAGACACTGCTGCAGAATGGCTGATAAGCGACTAATGAGCATCGAGAGGAAATATGATGGAGAGTACTGTCAGGTACATATTGACCTGGAAATGGGTCCCAAATGTATCCGAATATTCTCGAAGAGTGGCAAAGACTCAACGGTGGATAGAAAAAATATCCATACTGCTATTAAGGATTCGCTGAGGATCCGAAAGCCTGGCTGTCGATTTTCCAAACGATGCATACTGGAAGGTGAACTATTGGTTTGGAGTGATATTACCAATGACATCCTCCCCTTTCATCATTTACGAAGGCATATCATGAGAGCAGGAGCTTATATTGGCACTGAAAGCGATTCTCCGTGCGTATGTACCTACGTTATTGGTTATTCATCATTACTTACCCCCTCTTTTCTAGGCCAGACCCACGGGAACATTTATATATCATATTTTTCGACTTGTTGCTTCTAGATGATGATGTCGCATTATCCAAGCCCTATAGGGAACGAAGGGCTCTTCTTGAAGAAGTTGTAAATCCGATCCATGGACTGGCTGGGATTGCAACGCAATTCAATATAGACTTCTCTGTGTCTAGTGCATATGAACACTTAAAAGAAGAATTCGCTCTTGTCTCAGCCCAGAAATGGGAAGGGCTTGTTTTGAAGGGAGTGAATGAGCCATATTTCCGAACGTTCTCTCAGGATACTCGTGAATTTTCCTGCTGCTGGATGAAATTCAAAAAGGAGTCTATCCCAGGCTTAGGAGATACAGCTGATTTCATTCTCCTCGGGGGAAGATATGATTCTCGGGAAGCTGCCGCCCTTGGTCATATTAAAGGATTATCCTGGACTTCTTTCTTCGTTGGCTGTCTGGATGATGACGTTGACTTGCTCTCATTAAAACCAGCCTTCCGCGTTATTGATATTCTGAATAAACAGAACATCAACACTAACCTGTTCCAAACTCTCAACCAACTGGGGAAGTTCCAAGCCTGCGATGCTGACTCTGATGATGTTCCCTTTTCCTTTCGAGTCGATCAAGTCAGAATACCGGAGATTCAGACCGTATTTAGGATACCATTCGTTGTGGAAATGACCGGCTTCGGATTCGATAAACCTCAAGGTGTTCGATATTACTCCCTTCGGTTCCCTCGAATTGTGAAAATCCACTCAGATAGGGATTATGAGGCAGCAGTGTCGTTCAGAGACTTACAAGGATTGGCCCGAATTGCTAATGCCGTTCCAGTTGAGGAACTATCACAAGAAGCTGCTGAATTGGCTGAAAAGCTCGATCCAGCTGACAAAAAACCTGAATATATTGTAGATCATTCTGAAAACTCAGCTACCACAGTGACAGCATCAAGTGCTGCCAACTCATCCCAGCCTTTGTTTGCTGAAAACAACCCGATCGATCCACAGGGACTCAACCAAGCGGCTGTGGTGAAAGCAACATCTCATACGTCTGAGCAGGAGCTCAGCCTTCGAACTCAACGTGGATCCTCGACTATTAATTGTGTCAATACCCAGGAAAATTCTAACGAGACGGTGTCAAACCTAATTTGTATCCTCCCAGATACCACAGAAACATTCGGTGAACCGCTACATAGCAAGGAATCACCTGGTCGAGAGTTAGCCGATATAACTAACCCAAGTGAAGATAAATCCACACTTTTCCTGAGAAATGACTCCTGTCATAATAAGCCGCAACCTGCCAAAAGAGTTCCTTTTTATGAGAACATGCAGCCTAATGCTAGCTTTCCATCGGATCGATTTCCCATGGATCCCGTGCCTCAGCGAGCGCTTTCCTTCCAGTCATACCATTCTCATAATAGCAATGACAAGTGCTCATTGGAGACTATGTTGACCAGATCTTCATCCGATATATCAGGCCGCAACAACAGGCCCAATGCAATGAAAGGCTCTCCCATTTTGAAGCTTCCCGTTTTTCTCGGATCCTCGCTATCAGACACAACAATAAGCTTGCTTCGACGCTACATACCATCATGCAGATCGTCAATCGCACCTTCTTCCATTCCTCGATGGTTGACTTCACTGGTCTCGTTAGAGAATGGCAGTGTCGTACCACCACTCTACGGTATCATACTTGTGGATTCCAATTCCCGTCACTCGTCTAAGGTTGCGGCTGAGCTAAGACAGGTCGGCAGAGCCCTCACCTCGTTACAACAACAAAACAAGTTACCAAATACTGGCAAAATTATATTCATGCATTGGAAGGTTGTTGGGCAAGAGTTCAATGCGGCGAAGGCTGGTGAATGTTTGTCTGATCGATGGCAGAGATTCGGCAAAGATGTTATCGATGTATGTATTAAATGGGGTCATGAGGAAAGCCCTGAATGCGAGAATCAACAGGCTCAAAGGTTGCCTAATAACTCCCTTGGTTCACAAAGTGAGAAATTACCCAAAAACTTATGCTGCCGTCGTGATTGGACAGAGATTCTGCCGTTGCTACAGCCAAATACTCTACGGAAGAGTACTTAGCTACTGCCCATATCCTGCCATAATCGGGTCGTGGAATGACTTCAGTCCGAGTGTTGTTGATAATTAATTACATGTATATATATATTACCATATCTCATGTATATGGGGGAATAAACCGCCCTTATTTCATACCGTTACTCCTTCAATGTTTCATTTATGGCGTTAATGTCATTCATTCATAATAATGCATCAAAGTTAAAAGTCTATTGCATTCACTTGAACATATCAGCACCCCGTGTACACCATGAAGCCTAGGGTAAAATATGTGAGCAATTGAATTCATTGGTTATCGAGGAATGCCCTTCTCGATTTGATATCCCTCAACAGTGCCTGCGCTTCCTCAACCTCAACACCATGGTGACGTAATTCGTTGGCCAATTCGTCAGCCCTGGCAAAGTTATTTCCTTTAAAAAAGTATCTCGCAAGCCATAAACGAGCCTTCGAAGTAGTTGCTGTCACTCCTGTGCCTCCTATTTCGGTGTATTGCTCAGTTGCCGAGGAGTTTTGTCTTCCCCAACCATCTTTTTCCTCGGGTTCGTAATCAGAATCATCCTCTAGTAGTATCACCTCCTGTCTTAATGTGAGCTCCATGTATGCACGAGCTCCCTGCACATCCCCTAACCTTTCATGTAAAGTTGCAATCTGGTAAAGTGTCTCGGGATCAAGTACTCTTGAGGCGTTTCCAGCGCCTTTTGGATTCAAACCGCCAGCGCCTCCCGCGCTGGAAAATGAGTTCAAACCCATTCCTCCACCGTCAGAGTATGACCCTGCAGCCAGCGCACGCTTAAGCGCCTGGATACCTTGTTCGAGACGGCCCATTTTGGCGTAGCAGGATCCCACAGCCTGCCACATTTTGGGGTCATATGGCCGTAGGGCTGCAGCACGCTGGTAGTAGAAAAGGGCATAAAAAGACATGTCCAGCACCTCATAAGCCTGACCTAGACCATACCATGCACGGTAGTCCTTGCGATTAACATCAACAGCTCGCCGATAAGACTCAATTGCGGCGTGGGTATTTTTCATCTCAATGTATTCATGGCCCATGAGCGTCCATGCGGATAAAAAGTTCCTGTCTAATGTTAGCGCGCGCCGAAAGTACATCACTGCTTTCTCGTGTTCTGATTTTAGGGAATAATAGTTGCCCACAACACAACAGGTTTCTGGGCGAAATTTATCTGTTGCAGTGGCTAGCTGAGCAATGAATGCAAGTTGTGGGCGTGCGCCCATGACATATAAAATGTTTGAATAATGGTCTAGACAATCCAGACGGTGAGGGGAATTGATTAAAAGTTCAGAAAAAAGATGGGAAGCTTCTTCAAAATCTAAAAAAGGGCAAAGTTAACGGCGAACTTCCCATAGTGTTGCGGCTAACGAGCTTACCTTTTGAGTGATAGTAGAGTAAGGCTCGTTGAGTCTTTAGGAATGAGCTCGACGGGAAGACTCCTTCAAGCTCAGAAAGGATCTGGTGGGTTTGCTCGGTTGCCTGATAGAGCTCCTGACTAGAATATAGGTGGAACACTAGAGTCATTATGTTTTGGGGTAATTCGTCTACTACTCTCTTGAGCTGGATATGGCTTATAGTTAGCACGATACTCGGAATTCGTCAATTGTTTTTCAGGGACCATACGTCATCTGTACTGGCTAACAAGTCGTTTAACTCTTGCCATGCGCCCCAGTGGAATGGATAAAGGTGTACGCTTCGTATTAGCCATTTTTTGGCTTCTTCTTCGTTTTTCGCTTTCAAAAGCACGACTCCGTAGAGATATTCGAGCCATCCCTGTCCTGAATCTTCTAGGCCCTTTTCCCGCCTGTCGGCAAACCAGCCTTCGAGCCCTTGGGCAAGCCCTGGCAGTTCCTTATTCACGGTCATGCCTCCATCTGCCGGCCCAAGCACCATCTCCGTCTCCTCGTCCTTTCTTTTCTCACCAGCCAAATACTTCGCATATAGTGCGAGGAATAAGGATTTCTGACTTAGAACTGGAAAGGGATTTTGCGGCGAGGAGCTGCTCTTCTTTTTACCACCAAAGATCGTTGCCGGTTCTTTGCCCTTTTGAGACTGAAGGGGTGTCTTTGATTTGGATGTTGATGGAGCACGGGGTGCTAGTGGAATTGAGGACATAGACGGAGGAAGAAAGACGGCCGCGCAACGGTCATATTCCCGAGTATCAAAATAGGACTTTGCGAGTATGTACTTGTAAGCTTCTTTTGTTTCCAGGGCAGCTTCCTCGGGGTCTTGAGGTCCAAGGAACGGGTTGGTCGGCAGAGCAGGAGAAACGTCCATGGGCGAATTTGGCTCTGTATCTGTCCCTTCATCCTCGTCGATTGGGACCAGCGAATCCAGCATCTCTGCCGCCCTATATAGGCATCATTAGTCCTGGGCTATAACTATATAAAGGTAGCTGCCGGGGTATTGCCCAAGCTTATATTCAGCACCGTACCATTTGGCAGAGTGATACAGGCACCGTTCAGAGCACTTTATGGCAGCATCTTCCAGCCTGTGTCTCAGCTCCCTGGCATTATCCGCACTGAAGTTCATTATCGCGCCCGTCTGGAGTCTTGATACGAGACGTCGTTATATGAGCATGACGCTGTCTGCGATCAGCTAGTTAACTAACACTTGTTAAGGGCCCGAATTTCAAAACCGCCTGCAGCGCAACACGGTGTCAGCACAGCTTCACGTATCAGAAAACACCATTAAGTGGCAGCCATACCTTGACGAAATAGCTGTTGAAGTCGTCCGTGTCTATTTATTTACAAACATCGAAGCGAGCATCGCGGCTTTTTGGAGCTTTGGCAGATGCAAACAGCGCAAACATGGTGGGCTTTGCGATCCCGCCGACAACTTCAACGTCCGCAACAAAACGCAAAACCAGCCGTGAAGAGAGCGACTCCTTGCGACGTAACTCACTCTCTAAGACCATTGGGCATCGCACCGGGCTTGCTTCGCACAGCGCTCTCTTCCTTTCGCCTTGACTGACCGCGGAGGACACTTTTTGTCTCGTTAACCATGACTTCCAGCACCAGCCGCGAGGACTTCAACAAAGTCTTCCCCGCACTCGTACAGGATATCAGCGAGCATGCGAAGGAGTATAACATTCCGGCACCAGCTCTGGAATGGCTGCAAAAGGTCAGTCCTGTCCAAAGTAGCCTGGGCCTTTGCGGTAACTGACATGCGCCGTAGAACCTGAACGAGAACACGCCCGGAGGGAAACTAAACCGTGGCCTATCGGTCCCCGACACTGCGCTTGCGCTCCTCGAGAAGCCCCTGACCGAGGAACAATTCAAGCACCTTGGCCTCCTTGGATGGATGACCGAGCTCCTGCAGGCCTTCTTCCTCGTCTCAGATGATATAATGGACAGCTCGATCACTCGTCGTGGCGAGCCGTGCTGGTACCGCCGCCCGGGAGTCGGCATGATTGCAATCAACGATGCCTTCATGCTCGAGTCCTCTATCTACGTTCTCTTGAAGAAACACTTCCGCTCTCACCCTGCATATATCGATCTTGTCGAGCTCTTCCACGAGATTACCTTCCAAACTGAACTCGGCCAGCTGTGTGATCTTATCACTGCCCCTGAAGACAACGTCGACCTGAACAACTTCAACATGGACAAGTTCAACTTCATTGTCATCTACAAGACTGCCTACTACAGCTTCTACCTTCCTGTTGCTCTTGCTCTGCATTACCTCCAGCTTGCCACGCCTAAGAATCTTCGTCAGGCTCATGATATCCTCATCCCATTGGGCCAATACTTCCAGGCTCAGGATGACTACCTTGATGTTTTCGGAAAGCCAGAGCAAATTGGAAAGATTGGAACCGATATTCAGGACAACAAGTGCTCGTGGGTGGTCAACCAGGCTTTGAAGCGCTGCACTCCTGCACAACGCAAGGTCCTCGATGAGTGCTATGGCCGAAAAGATGCTGCCATGGAAGCCAAGGTAAAGGCTGTTTTCGACGAGATGAATCTCCAGAAGGTCTACCATAACTTTGAGGAAGAGCAAGTTTCAAAGTTGAAGAACATGATTGCGTCCATTGACACCTCCGAGGGACTCAAGGGAAGCGTCTTTGAAATCTTCCTGGCTAAGATCTACAAGCGTGACAAGTAGATATGATCTCCCTAACAATCCAAGAAACACTCCTATTTTCACTAATGGTAAACCAAGCTTTGCCAATCAATCATCCTGGCCCTTTTCTGATGTAAATACCACAGATGAACCCATAGAAATCTAGAAAATCAACACCAACAACAACAACACAAATGTAATAGTTAATGAATACAATATCACCGTGCAGCCTAATATTTCTTTCCCTCCCATTTTTGTAATGGACAGTTCAACACCAGAATGTCATCAGAGGTCTAATCGATGTAATTAAGTTGTGTATTACCCAGAAAAGTGATATAGAAAGACATAAAAATACAGAGCATTGAACATAGCTTTGAATAGCTATTAGAATCGCTTACTCGTGCGCAAGAATAGAAGATCCTAAATAATAAATCAAATAGACGAGGGAGCAATATATCTAATAGCCCAATAAAGCTATTCACATCCGCAACCATCCCACTTCCACAGCACTGACTTCTCTAACCCTTCTCGGCAAAATATGTATCAAACAACATAATATCACGCACTGCCATTCTCTCCATATGGTCATCAAGCAGCCTTGGTTTCGCTTCCGGCTCCATGTCCGTTAGGAGCTGGGCCAAGTTTGAGGGAGATGGACTGCCTTTTCGGTCTAATAGGAACAGGGATCGAATCCTCTTCCTCATCATCACTGCCGGCTCTAGGTATGGTGTTAGCATTAACTCCATTGGCACTGGTTCTAATAATCTGTTTAAAACTAGTATCACTTACGGAGGTTTGTAGGATATATAATCCTCGGTATCTAGCCCTTCGCGGCCTTCTTGGATGGAAGCAAAGTCTCCTGGGGTCATGGTACCCGTCCGATCGCGAGGAGAACCTGGGACAGATAGTGGTCGAGATATCTTTTGTTCTGTATGACCGATAGCCTCGTGGAAATCGTCTGCTGCATCAAAGGAGGTAGGGTACGCTGTTGGTGGTATAATTAGAGGGGTTTTCACTTGGATAAATGGGAGAAATATGAACACCTACCACGTCTGAGGGCGAGCTGGCGAGCCTTGACATATTCCAAGCCCATGCGTTTCCAATCCAGTAGATCACTCAGTCGTTCTGTTCTGTTTCTTTGGTTGATTCGCTGCCTTCTGCTCTTCTGGCAGAAATCGAACATGTAGCTCGTAAGTTGGTTTACCGAGTCGTCAACGCCTTTTAATCGTCTGTCAACCACATATATACCATAATCGGCTGAGTTTTCGATCAGCTCTTCCATATAACATCCAAAACCAGCAAGGTTGGTTGTTATACTTGGGATTCCCATAACCGTGCACTCTGCAGGGGTATAGCCCCATGGCTCATAGTATGAAGGGAAAACACCAAGGTTGGTACCACGGACAAAATCGTCGTAGTCCAAAGGCAGCACAGGGTTCGCAGAGTTAAGGAACTCGGGGTGGAAGACCACCTTGACGCGATCAGTAGGGTAGTTGAAGAGTTGGACTCGGCGAAGTTGGTTAAGGATGGGATCTTCAGAGTCGTTGAGCATATTATGAGTGACAATTGGAGGAAGGTTGTGCCGTTTCATGGCAAACAAACGCCGGCGGATAAGCACACGGTCCTGGTTTGTCATGAGGTCCTTTTCGTCAGGCATGTTGTCACCTTCTTTCCAGCCCAGACAGCGTTCGAACAGCCGTTTCCCGATACTCTTTTCTACGCTTTCCAAGGTATCTCGTAGCGATTTGACCACAGCTTGTCCCTTAAGAGCCTCAACAGTGAGAGAGGAGGTCTGGGAAGGCATAATTATAAAGGCTACCACGGTAGTCTTGGATCCAGATACCTTCAGCCGGTGATTAAGTCTCGCGAGCGATTCAATAAACATGTCCACACCCTTATTTCGGTACTCATATCGGCCGGAGGTGAAAAAATATAGGGTATTTTCCAGGTCAAAGTCGTTGTGGCCGTAGAAATGGCCACGTACAAAGTCGTTAATCTTATCCTTTGAATGAGAGTGCAAGTTTTGGAACTCATGAACAGCCGAGAATTTCTTGACGTTCAATCCATTGGGCAAGACTCCGTCGGGCTTTCGTTTGAGCAAGTGCTCGCTCTCGTAGGCTGTAATGTGAGAGACCGTGGTGAAGACATCGGCAGAATGGGCAGCAGCTCGCTCGATGCAGTAGCGGTGGTAGATTCCTCGCTTCCCGGCCTCTGCATCCACGTCAAAGTTCTTCAAGTTGTTGTAGAAGTCAACTGAGCCAGCACAAAGATATCGTCCAAGAAGCGTTGCATGAGTGGTAAAAATAGTCGTTACGTCCATCCGCCGCTTCTTGGTCAGGGGCAAGGCAACTCCTGCAAGCCACTCATGGAAATGAGCTAAAACAGCCCTCTCGGTGTCTCGACATATATACTGCCGGAAAATCAGCTGTGAACCTTGGTTTTCTCAGGAGTTATGTGCACAAGTACTGACCTCTCCTAGAAACCACGCAACAAGATATCCAAATGCAATTGCCTCGTTGGTCTCTGAATCAGCCGAAGGTGACGGAATCCCAGCAGCGTTCCAAAGATCTCCTTTCCACTCGTCGAGATACTTATATCCCGCCCCAGTATCAATCAGGAGGACGCGGGGAGCACCTTCTATCAGCCATCGACCGTATACGATCTCTATGCCACGCTCAGTCATGGCTTCAATCGCCCCGATCAAATGCGGGTTCGTTGGCGTGAGGGCTTCCACCTCGACCACCGCCTGGTATCAAAGATAAAAATCAGCACAGGTCCAGCTGTCTTCAGCAGAAACAAAGCGAACTACATACCGACGCCCGGTTCAAGGGGCCTATCAGCGTATATCGCTCGCCATACTCTGCGGTTGTCACGGCCGCCTTGGACTTGAGAACCGAGTAGATCCCGCCAACTGCAATATCATGTCAACGCCCCGCACAGCAAAGCAGCAGCAAAGAAAATAAGATAAATGGAAAAGCGAAGACGAACCTCGATTAGCAACCTCCGTCGCAATCTCGAACAAGACGTGGTTTTTCACGTCTCTCTTCGGCTGTTCTGCGCCATCCCGGCGAGGAGGAGACGCCATGACGTAGGTAAACAGCCCAAGTCCCACAAGAGCAGATCGCAGAGATGAGACGAAGAGCGAGCGCGAGGTCGAGCCAGCAAAGAGACAAAAGGTGATACGAGACGGCAGGCCGGTAGATTAAATAGCAGGCCTCATTCAACAGTGAGCAGCTGGACTTGGAGGTGGCGCAATATTTGTTTATTTCTCTCAAAGCGAAGTTGGCAGCTTTGTTGCGATGGGCCGCACCAAGGAACAAGCCCAGAGACAAGCTTGGAGGCGGGTCTGGGGTAGTTAGCTCGCGAGACGAGGCAGCGAGCTCTTCTCTCGGGGGGCCGTCTTCCTGTTGCGAGGGAGTCTGTCTTCTGTCTTGCCGGGTGAGATGGTAGTTGAGCGGGTGGTGGCCAGGCGGAGCGGCGGGAGAAGAGGAAGAGGAAGAGCAGCAGAGAAGGCCAACCTCCGCGGCCGCCCAGCAATCATCCTTGTACGCGCATCAGGAGGTACATGCCAGCTGCTCCGACCTGGCACAGAGATAACAGATGCAAGCTATTCGATCAGGAGGTACAGGCTGGCTGGACGGGGCTGGCCAGGTCAGATTAAAAAAGACGTATGTCCTATCTCGAGCTACAGCAAGGGAAAACCCAGCTTGCTGGGCTGCTATCCCGGATGCTGCGCTCTCTAATTCAAGGAGAGAAAAAGAAAGCATCGAAGGAAAGAGCAGCAGAAAAGAAGTAAAAAAGAAGTGATAAATACACACAATCCTCAAACGCCCTGACACCGTAACTAGCTGAGCTTCCTCCAGAAACAATACATCATACATCACTGGCTGAACACGCTGCTGCCGGACGAGGACATCCGGCTTCTCTCAAACAGCCATTTCTGCGTCATAACAGGGGAGGTGCCCTTTCCAAACGGGGTGGGCGTCGAGGGAGCTCGCAGGGAGCTTCCATCTCGTGCTCCAATGCTGGACCGTCCCAGCGGCGAAGGTGAGCCAAAACTGTTTCTACGGCCACTGTCCCGGCCACCGGACCGAATCCCCTTTTGGAACAGCGGGCTACCAGAGGGAGTGAACGGCGGGCTGTCGGGATGGCTTCTCGTGGGTGAGTCTTCAGCCCCCGAATATGAGAAGGGCGAGTTGCCCCATGAACCCGAGCTTCTCCTGCGTGAGCTGGATGATATGCGGTATCTCGGTGGTGTGATGTATTCGGTGCCCTGTGTAGCGGGAGACGTGCTGTTTGGGTCGAGTCCCAGTAATGCTCTTTGTGATGGAGTCAGCGGGATGTCGGATACCTGGTCAGGTGCCCGGTAGATAGGGTACAGAGTCATGGCAATGTTGATAAACAGTAAAAGACGGACAACAAGTAGTACGATGTCTGGGTAGGTCGGGATTTGCAAAAATGATCCAATCGCTAGGGAGCTATTATCACCATCCTGTTAGCATGCACTCTGCTCTCCTTGTTGTCTGGGGGAGTTGGCCGTCTCATACTATTGCTTGTAGGTGTTGCCAATAAAGCCAGTAAAAATCAATGTGCCTGCATTTAAGAGCAGCCTCCTGATCGTTTTCTCATTGACGCTGGACGCATTCTGTCGTCGAATAATCTCTTTCAAACGTGGATGTCGCCATTTGCCTGGGGAAGCTGTTGGTGGACCACTGGTATCCAGCATCCGCGGAGTCGACGGGAGCGATGAAGGAGCCATTGATGCAAAGGAACGCACGCCGTACGCAAGAAAAACGCAACAAATGAAGCAGAACGCCTAGCAACATGGTAAGCTGGTGGTCCTCGCCCATGATTCAGTCGGAGATGTATGGAAAAACTCACCTGGATAAAAAGACCTACCTCGCTTACCTTCTAGTTATCGGAATATCAAGGGATATTATCTCTTCCTGGTTCATATCATGGTACGCTCTCCCCTCATCCAACGCTAGCTTTCCTCCCTCGCTGTCGCTTTGCAGAAGTTCCTAAACTCTCAATGTTTTTCTGTTTGGATTTTTGGCTTGATATTCATTTAGGCGCCAAAATTACCGCGCTACCACAGAAACCCGCGGCTGTCGCGTATCGAGATTTCACAGCAAGTTTACGACACACGCAAGCAAGCCATATTTATACGAGAAGAGACCTGGATTACGGTAATTAACCAATTACACTCCTTCTTATGTCACTCTACGCTTCCAGATCCCATGTTTGAGCCTAGAAGTTGATGGTGTTGTCAAAACCGAGTTTGTATTCATCCCACCCAAACGACGTCACTTATAAGCGCCGCTGCTTCAGCGAGGTATAAGAACCAACAAGCTGGCCAGGCTTGGATACAGATTCAAGTCAAACACCCACATCTCACCATGGCGGCCGAAGACTCGATGCTGGCCAGGGCAGATGCGCTCCTGGAAGCGCTCTTCTCCGATTGGAATATCTACTCGACTCTGCTCGCAACAGTCCTCGTCTCATACATCGGATATACACTCTTCTTCACACCGGACCCCGATGCACACCCGTATGTACTGGCCCGGCAGGGAGTGGTAGCCCCCGTCAGACAGCGTGGGGAGTCTGCTTCTGTACGGGCCATGGACGTCCCCCATGGCTACCCGCTCAAGGCTGGACTTGGTGTTCGTGATCCGGACACTCCTAGATGGACTGCCGGCAGACGGGGCGACCTTCGAGATATATGGAAAGCTGTTGTCCGCGGGGAGTTGAATAGCGATGGCACACCATCAGGGAAAAAGGGATCTATCTTCACTGTGTTTGGAAACACAGCTCAAGAACGCAGTGTTGATGATATTTCCCGGGAAATCAAGATCATTGGACAGTATATCAGTGATACCAAGGCACAAAGAGTGGCTATATGTCTCACTGACTCGGTAGAGATGCTTGCAACTATCTTCGGTATGAATTCCGCTGGCTTAGATTATGGCAATTCCGTTATCTAATGTGTCTAATAGCAAGCGCTTTCTACGGTTTTCCAACCGTTATCATTCCTCACAACCTTCCTCCTCAAACACTTGCTGGTTATCTTCAAGAGACAAAGGCCGATGTTCTCATTGCCGAAGCTGGTGCTGTGGAAGTTACTACTTTGCTAAAAATGTGTCCTGCTCTGAGACATGGAATATGGGTTGCTCAGGAGGGCAGCCGACACATGGACTGGAATGAAGTCCCTGAAGGGGCTGGTAGCAAGATCGAAGTGTCAACGTGGCACGAGTTAGTCAATGAGAAAGAGGGCTCGGTTAGCCCTGAGGTACCCGAATGGGATGTTAAATCCCCAACCCCTTCTCTGACCACTCTATGTCCATCTAAGAAGGGCCTAGGTTCATTCATCGAGTATACTTCAGAGGTAAAGTTCTTATCTCTTGACCATCTGGGGAACATGGGAACTAACCCTTATACACAGAACATTATCTCTGGTGTTGCTGCATTGGGTTCTTCTTTACCCCGCAACGAACAGCTCAAGTCATCAGACTTGGTCTTGTCAATTGATTCGCTTGCACACTCTTATACCCTTTGTTTCGTTCTAGCCGCCTTGTACTCAAATGCATCAATCGCTTTCAACTCCGTCGCTGGAGAAATCGTCGACTTTGCTCTTGCGACTACCGGAGTCTCGCCAACAATTATCATCGCCTCATCGCACACTATGTCTGATTACCATGCTCAATACATGGGCCCGCAATTGAACCCGTTGGTGAAACTTGGCCGCTTCTTCCAGACTCGGGCCTTAGACTCAGGAAGGATGCCATCAAGCAACATTCTCTCTGCTCTAGGCGGAAGTGGGCCTGTCTCGGAACAGACATTAAAAAATTTAAGATTGATTCTTGTCTCTCATCGAGCTGAAGGAGATAGGAACAACCAGCTCACCAGCGATCAACTTACAGATTTCAGGATCATGACAGGTGCTCGACTCGCATATGCGCTTACTACTGGGAAAGTAGCTGGAGCTGTTTGTCAGACAAATCCATATGATTACAGAGGACAGCGGGGTTTCAGTCACTTTGGCCCTCCCTTGAACAGTGTGGAAGTCAAACTAGTTGATTACGATGAAAAGTCAGGCAATGAGAAAGCCATAGAGGGAAAGGTGAGAACAGACTATAAGAATAGTTATGCAGCTCCTTTTTCCCTTGAAGCTATACTAATCATTTTCATAGATCTACATATCTGGACCTGCTGTGGTATCTGGTGAATGCAAGCTTGAAGCCGACGGCTTATTCCAGGAGGACAATACTCTAGTTCTCCTAGCTTGAACTTATATTTATGAGATATGATACTTTTGGTTTCTTTTAAACAACATTCCTGTGGTACAAAATCAATGAGCAGAGCTGGAAACCCTTACTGGGATATTTCTAATGGGAAATCTCTAAATTAGCGTGATCAAAATAAGATGCAACAAGAGATATGATTCATACATGGACAGGTTGGGTAATAAATATAAAAATTTCTAGTATACAAGTAGTAAATGATTTGGCTCTGGAGACCAACATAATCAAAACGCCGTGATTGAATACATATATCCTCTAGGTGAAGATAGAAATCCCCTATTTATGCAGCAGTGACTTCGTCCAGGATACAGTGTGGGTGACCTCCTGGCGGTGCTTGTCAACAGTCTGGAGACAACTTTCAATGGCCTTAGCCAATTCACCCCTTCGAGCTTCCAGACCTTGTCGAATATCCGGCTGGGCTTTAATTTCTTCAACCTTCAAAGCCAGGTCCATTCCATGCCATAGAGGTACGTAAGTGCGTAGTCTCCAGTTGGCTGTTGGCCATTCTGATGGCACAGTGAACTTCTCTAATGGCCATGTGCTAATAAGTTTATTCGCATATGACCGAACTCCCTGGTCTTCATCACGGCCCTTAAACGCATCTATGGCGTAGGCTGCCTTCAACTCGAGTAGCATTCCGATAACACTAGGTAGCCTCTTTGGATCCTTTTCAGCAACTGGGTGAGTGTGTTCTGGGGAATTCAGTAACCTGACTAGTTCCTTTGCCTGTCCAAGAGCAAGATGAACATCAGGTCCCTTAAATCCGGCCTTTTCTGCCTTTAGTCGTATAGAAAATAGAAGGGTTCGAGTGAAATCAGCATTGCGCATGAGCAGGCCTGTTCGGCGTGCTTGCGCTACAGCTTGCAAAACGTGTGCTTCCATTCCAAGATCACCAGCTCTCCGTATAAGCATCTCAGTAGTATGTGGGGTGAGGTCCCGTTTCGAGGAATGAAGTCCACTTAGGAATGGAATGAGACTTTTCCAATCTTCCTCTGTCTTCAGCAGTCTAATAACTCTGGCGACCTCGCTGTTACTCGGGGCGTCTGCAATGTGCATGGGTCGCAGTGTGTAGTTATCGACTGCATCTTCGGTGCCAACGTTGACCACTACGGGATGACTGAGTAGTTCCTGTGATTTTGACTTCTTATACATGGCTCTTTTGTCTTCGTATGGGAGCCATGCCGGAATAAAGAGCTTATCTCGAAATTTTTGGAGCAAGCCATCGAGCTCGGGGGATGAGGTCGGAGCAAATTTCGGAACAAGAGCTGCACAAATATACTATTAGCGGAAGCATTTCATTATCACTAGGAGATATTAGCGCATACCTTTGCAAAGGCTGGCAGAGCTTGAGAAGGCTCTGTATCGACCTAGGGATGTACTCTGGGAGGTGCACCCGCGCACGAAAGCCCTCCCCAGCCGTGGGTGCGCCATTGGCTTAATCTGACAAAACCAAACAATTTAATAGAGTAATAACTTCAAGCTGACGGGTATAGAATGCAAGGTGAATGCTCGACTTAGTGTTCTGTAGTTGATCGTGTGTTTTTTACTTTCTTGCTTCATCCAAAAAGTCGAAGATAGAAAAAAGTTCATGTCTTGGCTTGGCACGGGCCACTTTTTTGATGGTTTCAATTTTCTATTCAGAAGACATTGAGCGACAGGAAGAAGACCAGCACAACTCACGCAAGGACGAAGACTCTCACCACGATGGCCTCTGTGAAGTCGGCGCTGCGACCGGCTGGTTGCTGTGCCAATGCATTCAAGGAGTTAAGGCAGCAGGTGCCTCGCCGTCAATTCCTCCATACCGTCCATTCCCCCCGGAAAGAGAAGATCGCGTTCCCTACTACTATTCCGGAACAATTCATATCACAGATCCCCAAGTTCTGTCGGCCTGGAAAGGGTATGCCCTAGCTCTATATTTTCGAGATACCACAGCTTACTTGGGTTGCTGGTCACTGACATGGCTTGTGATGTACAGGCACCAAGGAACTCAAGGTCCACCCTCCTCCAGCTTTCCCATACGACACATGCAAAGACCCTATTGCCGCCTTTACGGCTGAGCAATTGTCTGTACTTGACCCTACTGGCGAGAGAAAAGCGCTGTTCGATCCGAAAAATCGCCAGGGCGCCAAAGTTGGTGACATTCTGCGTGTTACGTTTAAGAATGGCGATCCCTTCGCCGGTGTATGCCTGAATATTCGGCAGAGAGGAGTCGACACTGCATTTTTGCTACGAAACAAATTGACCAGAATCAGCTGTGAGATGTGGGTTAAGGCATACAGCCCTAACGTGGTTGGTGTGGAGGTTGTCCAGCGCACAGAGAAGAGAAAGAGACGCGCGAAATTGACATACATGAGGTATGACTACCCTATGCTTTTCGTCATAATAATCGCAGAGAACATATGGCGATAATTTTTTAACCTATGCTGGTGTTCATTGCTAATTTTTCTGTTTATAGGAAACCCTCTCACGATATAGGAAGTGTGGAAAATATTGTACGCAACTATCTCCGAACAAAGCGTATATTGGCCGGAGGAGGCGATCAGAGATCCCGCAAACGATAAAGGTGTTGTACCTACTTTGCATCTTTGGACACCAGTATACCCGATCTTCCATAGCAGCGAGCGCACAAGGGAGTTGTGTGTCAGTCTCACCTACGTTTCTGCTATGTATATCACTGCACAACCTGTACACTTTTATTACAGTTTCGATATTTGGAGTAGCATGTTGCCTATTAGACCTGTACTATATTCTATCTCTTATGACTGGAAGATTCTTTACTAAATTATGGAAAATTCTGCAAGAGATTAATGCGAGAATTGCACTCCGATAAGGGGACCAAACTTGGTATTATAGAATAGTAACAGAGAGGTATAATAAAGTAACATGTAAAATAGTGAATTAGCGCTTAAACCTGCTATTTTGCTAGTAGATATGTGATCCACCCAGCAAAGATGACCACGGTCATGCTAGGTATTATCGCGAAGGCCTTAAGGAAGGTAGACAATAACTTCCAACCCACCCTTGAACGGGGTCGTCATGTGCCTGAAGCCGTTCTTAGGGTCATCCATATAATCAAATAGGTCCTTGTAGTCACTTCGAGCCATGACAGTGTTGTCTGCAATGATAAGTGCGCCCGTACGGAGCTTTGGTTGAACTGCTTTGAGTGCTGGGAGAGCCATTGGAGTCCAGACTATATTATATTGACTTAGCAAATCGTGATGAAAGGGTGAGCGAAGAATTGGGGTCAACATACTGTCCAACAATAACATATCAATTTGATCGACCTTCTTCATTTGATCCGGTAGTGTTTCGCGAAGATCGCCTTCCAGCAAGGTAATCCAGGGCTCCACCTCTTCCCCAGCCTCCTTCCAATGCTCCTTCGCCTTCTTCGCCTTGGTAGGTTCATTTTCCGTTGCAAAGACTTGAGCACCTTGTCCCGGTGTTATGGACCCAGATGCTTTGGCTGCAGCGTTCTGTCCAGCTGCGAGAGCAAGGTATATAGTCGAGACGCCGAAGCTTGTACCTGCTTCCACGATATTTAGAGCACCGGTAGATCTCGCTAAAAGATAGACAAGTTCACTTTTGTCGGCCTCTAGACAGATATATTTGTCTCTCATGAAGTCGTCATCAGCAGAGTTCCATCTACGGTTCCCAAAGATCATGGTCATTATCTTCTTGCGAAGCCAGAATGACAGGACGGAGAACGAGGATTCCTGGGCTCCAGACTCTCCGTGGAGCCTCTTGAGGAGGGCCGCAACCTTGGGGCTTGAAACCAGCGCACTTGGAGAAGCCATACTTCCTAATAACGTTAAAATTGGGCTATATGGATAAGTATAGAAAGGAAATAACGCTTATATATCTGTGATCGTATTGAACTGTGAGTCACCTCCCCAATTTTATCGATTATTCAATTAATTCATTCAGTACTCCGTACAACAAGCCATAGCTTGCCCATGATCTACCCGTGAAATGCCGGGTCCCGGCACCGTTACCGAGGTGATTATTCTGATAGTCAATAGGGAGCTCCCGTCGATGCTCTGCTGGAAGGGCGTGCGGAGGACCTGACCAGTAACAATTCTCGGCCATAAATAGTCCCAAAGAAAATAGCCGGGCCAGATAAAATCAATCCGGCTTATCAGAGCCCGGTCAACGTAGTTGCATATTATTATTATATTGACCGCAAAAGTTTTGCTTTCTTTTTCTTCCATGTTTCTTTTTCTTTCTTTGATTGACGTTGGAATGAGAAGATAAAAAGTCTTGGCGATCTGATAAGGCTAATACACGTGATCCCGGTTAGTCACATGTTCATCGCACGATAATCTAATCAGATCATCCGAGTGTCCCCGCGGGTTGTTGAAAAAAACCAGCAACGACAACCCATCCTTGCTACCAATTTCACGGCTTCTCATTCCCACAACCACACATCGTGGCTATCACAGAGGCCAATTGATAGAGGACAAACACCCCCTCCGGCTCCGGCATTATATCTCCCTTTTGGCTGAATACTAGTTCAAGCCGATTCGTCCCGATAGGCCGGCTTCGGGCCAGATGAGAGACGGAGTATGACAATGTCAACTTCTGCTGGAACGCCTACATCGGCCCATGCGCCACTCTCAATTGCTCCTGCAAGCACTCCACATCAACGATCACTTTCGGTGAAACCTCTAGCTGCTGCCCCGTCACCAGCACCGGTCACTCAATGCTCGATTACCTCCAAGGAATGGATCGTTCCTCCGCGCCCCAAACCAGGCCGTAAGCCTGCCACAGATACACCTCCTACCAAACGCAAAGCTCAAAACCGGGCAGCACAGAGGGCCTTTCGAGAACGAAGAGCTGCGAGAGTGGGAGAACTAGAAGAGCAGATCAAGAAAATCGAGGAAGAGAATGAGCGTGAGGAAGCTGCTCTGAAGAAGACCATCCAACAACAGCAACAGCAGATAGAGGAATACAAGAGCCAGTTACTGTGGTGGAAGAATCGGTGCAAAGCTGTGGAGGATGAGCTCATGACCGAAAAAGTCGCCAAGGAAGACGCTATTAAACAGCTTGAGAGAATCAACAATTCCGGAAGAACAACGAACAATGGCAACTCTGTCATCGGTGGGTGCGAAAGGTGTTCCTCCACGCGATGTCAGTGTATTGATGATGCATTCAACATCGCCAACATCACGCAGATGCAGACGGATGATCCCCATTCCAAACGGGGCAGGTCGCCATCACAAGGAGCCACTCAAAAGCGTCACCGATCTAATCCCGAGATCAAAACAGAGCCTGAAGACCTAGAAACCGACTTCACCCATTCGTTCTCCCTCAGAAGACATTCACGAACAGGGAACGATGCTACCACACCTATACTGTTAGATCCATGTGGCTTCTGCCAGGATGGCTCGCCATGCATCTGTGCAGAAATGGCAGAGGATCAACCAAGTGACAGAAGCAATCAACCTTCACAATTGACCAAGCTCCCACCTATTCAGAATATATCACAATTTACCCCACCTCCTTCCGAAGGGGACGTTCTCTCAAAGTCAGCTACGTTGGTGTCGAGCAATAAAAGCAATCCCTGCGCCAATGGACCCGGAACTTGCGCTCAATGTCTTGCAGATCCCCGCAGCTCGGTTTTCTGTAAGAGCCTTGCTGCCTCTCGTGCATCTACTCGTCAGGAAGGCGGGTGCTGTGGAGGTGGCGGTGGAAAGGATGGATGCTGCAAAAACCGATCATCTGGTTCAGACTCGTCCAAGCAGGCTACATCTCCAATTACGCTCAGCTGTGCTGATACATTTACTACCCTATCTCTGCATCCAAAGTTCGCTTCTGCATCAAATGAATTGAGCAATTGGATACCCCAGCTGCATACCCTTCCTAATCCACAAAACCTCAATCCTGACCGGCGACGGGACCAAAACCTTACCAACCGGCCTGCCTTGGAGGTCGAAGCCGCAAGTGTTATGGGCGTCTTGCGATATTTTGATCGAAGATTTGCTGATTCTAAGTAAAAGCTACGATTTCATATTTTTCTTTTTTTTATCCTCTGACACTTTCGTACGATTTTGTTATTTGATTATCTCTTTCTGCTGAAAACTGGTTCATTTTTCCTTTTACCTACTACCATGTTCTAGATGAGCATCTATCCCTTGAGGTATTAGGCGGATATCCCTACTCCAGTTCTCCTGGTGCATCCATACAGTACTACCAGGCTAATGCCGTGAGTTTCAATAGGGAAAGGCGCCACGGAGTCAAATTCTTTCTGTTTCTGAGCTGATTTTATTCCCGTTCCCAGTTAACACTTTGTTTGGACTTCCATCTTCTGTTTGTATTAATAGCACCCAGTCTCACCTTACCTTTTTCACGCATCCTTGGGATACGCTTAGAAAACCCCTTCAGTAGGGAATACGCTTCTTGACACGGATGAAATGATGGACTTATATAGAGGTGGTGCATGTTTCCCTTAGTAATGATCAGCTGCGCGGCCAAAAATCTGATTTGATTGACTATTCTACACTTATCATTTTGATCTCACGAATTAATGTATCCATTGTCGACCGCCTATGGGGTATAATACATTAAAGAGGGGATGGTTGGTCTAGTGGAATTTTGCGGGATAGTATATAGTAACAAAGTAGTTGGGCAAAGTCAAGGATATTATTCAAGCCGAATGAAAGTGAGATGGATATAGAGCAACTCCCGACGGAAAGTTTGAAAGATGATTAAAGCAGTTTAGAAGGCACCCTTCTCGGTCCCTACATGGCCTCCAGTGGATCCAAGAGACATCTTGCCCATGGAATCAGGCGCAATATCGTCCTCTTCACCGCTCAAAAGAGTTCCAAGGAAGCTAGATCCCCAGAGCCCGACTATACCCCACATCTCAAGTCTCCAGCTTCTGTAAAGGCCTTGAATGCCTTGTCCTTTGCGACGTTTTTGGATTTGCCGGCTTCCCTGTCTTCCTACTTGAGGAGGACGGCCGAGAACCTGTTCTATTGTGTCTAGGTCCGTGGGTGTTGGGTTTGTGCCTTCTTCATAAATAATATTCCACATCGTGCCAATAATTCCTCTATAGCTTTGGGGGGATGGAACAATGGTAGGCAGAGGGGTATTTGAATTTGACGATGCTTCTGCCAATGTTGTGGAGGGGCCGCTGGAGGTAGGTGATGATATGCTTGGGGTTGAGTATGTTACACCTGGCCGGCGAAGAGCAGGAGAGGTAAAGGTCGCCATTTGTGCCCGTCTGAGAACAGTTTCCAGGGGTACTCGCACAGTTAACTCAAGGCCTTGGGCCATAAGACTGAAGAGACTCCATGTAGAAGGGTTTAGCGTCGGGTCAAGAGACAAATATGATTTTAGGAAAAGAGGGGCGCTGGTCGAAATTAAATTCGGTAATGTCGATGTAAGGATGGTAATGGGTAAAAGATGCGGTGAAATCATGTAGCTGGGAGATGGAAGAAGCCTGATTGAATGGAGAAGAGAACGGGGCCCGTGACCGTGTGGTGTAAGAATTAAATAGGTTCGCGCGGTATCAATTGGCGATAGGATTATAGCTGAAAGTGCAGATGAGAGGCAAGAGAGTATCAAATCTGTGCCCGGGGAGGTTGATGTAAGGATATCACTGGCCGGAAAGGATGAGAATGAATCTTCTGGGTAGCCTAGAATAGCAGACAGAAGACTGCGGACAAAAGTGTTTAGAGTAGGCAAGAGTATCGAATATATAAATGTAGTGTTTGAAGCTTTCCATATTGACGTTGGTCCGCTAGTTGTCCAGAGTTGAGATAGCACATCAAGCATAGATGACGAGTCCCTGACCTTCAGCATATACTTTGGCTGAGCACTCTGTGGTATGTACCCAGCCCGGTCAGTTACACGCTGGGGAGCTTTTCCATGAACCCTAGAAGAAGACGGTGCATACGTAGACGCATTAGGCGCAGCAGAAGTAAAGTAGTTATTCTCATCGTCAGAGCCGAATACATTCTATAATCCAGCGAGTCAGCAATGCTCAAGAAGTAGTCCACATATCTAAGTCGATTCTCACCTCTTCGTACTGCTCCATCTGGTGCCTGTCCAGCTTTCTCCTCTCCTCTGCCACTTCGGCGGCAGCATCTTCGGCAACATAAACCTGTAGTATCGTCTTTGCGACCTCGAATGGCTGTGACATCAAAACCCGCGAGTATCGTCTTGCTGCATTCTCAAACAGCTGTTTGATGGACTCTGTCACCGATGGCGAGGAGTCCCCCAGGTAATCCGAATAGTCGAAATCAGACAGTATATCCCGCGCGGACGTCCCAAAGCTCGTCATATTCTCTGCTGCCGCGCTCGAAACGACCTTGGATGTGGCATGGCTACTGGACAGCCCTATGGGAGGTGGCACATAGTAGGGCCTCAGCGGGTTGGGGCCTTCTGGTGTTGAATTCATTGCCTATCCGTGGCCAGCGCCAGAGACTCTCGATCGTTCAAACTCGTAAACGTCGTAAGATCCACGTCCTTTCTGCGTCTGCTGTTTGCTGTTTGCTGTTTGCGGTTTGCGCTTCTCTAGATGTGTTTTTCCCTTGGTTGCTTGTTGCGCTCGGAGATAGAAATCATCGCAACTTGTTAATAATTCCGACGGCCGTACTAAAAAAAGAAACTCTGTTAAAATATTTGTAAAGCTAGAACGCTGACAGGACTCAGCTTGACCAGCCAGAATATCTACTTCACCACCAGCGCATCGTCAGTCTTCGGCGTCTAAGACGGCTTCGCTGTCCATTCCTTTCTTCTTCCCTAGACCGGTGCGAGTGCGCGACAGAAAGGAGACGCCGGGATGGCCGCAGCCAGAGGACTATGCCGCCATGGCTTACAACCGCTAACACAGAGTACCGGCCAGAGACTCTCGACGGCACGGTATGCGCCCTTGAAGAGCATATCAAGGCAGAGCAGGCTGCTGTCTAATGTGCCCGGGGCATCATATCAACTTTTCCGGTCCGTCCTACGGACTTCGAGATATCAGCAACTTGCTCACGGCTCATCCATACCGAGCCGGTCTTTCTCCTCGACCTCGAAGCTGCTACATGGACATATTACGAAGCCAAAGCCAGGTGAAGAGTGAGTCTTAGCTCTGACTTCAATAGAAATGGAGAAGTAGTTGGAGTTTTACTAATATATATCAAACAGGATCAAGGTTACTTTCATTGATAAAGACGGCGAACGACACGATTTCGAAGTCGCAGAGGGAGATAACCTGCTTGATATAGCACAGGCAAACGATCTTGAAATGGAAGGTTTGTCAATTAGTTCATTATACATGCCGTCGGGCCAGCTGCTAACGGTTTTTTAAGGTGCTTGCGGAGGCTCATGCGCCTGCTCTACATGTCATGTAATCGTGGAGAATCCAGATATGTACGATAAGATGCCGGAGCCTGATGACGACGAGAATGACATGTTGGACCTAGCATTTGGCTTGACTGAGACCTCTCGGTTGGGATGCCAGGTGAAGATGACTCCGGAACTTGACGGCCTTGTGGTTACGCTACCCAGCATGACTAGAAATTTGCAGGCTAGCGACTTTGCGGAGAAGAAATGATGATGTTTATTCCCTTGAGCGGACTGGTCATACCCAGATCTTGGTGCATGAGCTGTAGACCTTGCCTGACTCGAGATCGCCGGCCTAACCGCTATTTGGTATTTCCTCTGGATATAATCGCACAGTCAGTCTATATGATTCGTGCGGTTAACATGTTTCATAATTTGTACAATAGCCTTATAGACCTGCAAAAAGTACTCCCCGATTTGGAGAGGATGACCCGTGTATAGTGTATATCATGTCAGAAACACCCACATAACCAGAACTCCTATATCAGCTCATGCTTTTCTTCCTCTTCGGATATCAATTAACATAATAATCAAGCTTCTTCAATAGGTTTCGAACCAATGCCGTTTATTAGGTCCAAAAAGCCTTGCTTGCTGACCTCGTTAACAGCCTTCTCTCGCTCATTCATTCCAACTGTGAGGCGCTTCCTCCTTTCTTCCCTGGCAACTTCTTCACCCCGTACCTGTGCTGCTCTGACAGCATTGAATAGTTTGACAACACCCCTCTGAGCTACTTTGCGCAGCTTCTTCTCAAATTCTGCTGTCTCTCCAGCTTCACCCCTGTCAACGCCCAGTACGTCCCTCACACGGCCCCTGTCTAGCTCTTCCTTCTTTTCTGCTCGTAGTTTTGCCCTCGCGCGGTGTTCAAGCCTCTCGTTTGCTATATCTGCACTTGTTTGAGCTGCAGCTTTACTTCGTGACAGCAATGGGTCCGCCCGAGCAGATGTGGGAAGCTTTGTAGACAAAATCTTCGATATGGACGTGGAAAAGGCAGTCGGGTCATTTCGTTTGGAAACATGTTTTCGGCTTGTTGTGCTTTTTGATCCAGCCTGAGACGAAGTAACTGAAGATGCATCTGAGTCCTCCTCATCATCATCATCGCCATCTGACTCTCCCGTTGCAGCCAATTCCTCTTGATCTTCCGCTTGTAGATCCGGCTCATCGTTTTCTAAAGAAGCATCGCTTTGTATGGACTTCTCAGCGTCGCTGTCGGAATCATTGAGGTTCACTGCTGCAAAGTCGGTTGGAGCTCCTCCGTTTTCTTCTTCCTCCGAACTGCTGCTGTAGTATTCCTGCTTTCTGAACTTCTTCTTCGGCCGTGACGTCTTTCCCCTCATCCCCTCGTCCACCTTTCTCTTCTTCATCGAGGGCGGCGCCATCTTGTTCTGCGCTGTGTTTCTTCTTGCTTTTTTTCTTTTTGATATCTTCAACTTTCAACATTTTTTTTATCTGATAAAAAGATTAGGAAAAATCGCGGTCACGTGAACAGCCCCATGCCTTATCGCCTTTTTGTGTTTGAACACACACATCGAGAGGAAGCAAGACGAGGATAACAACATTTGAAGCTCGTCCTTTACTGTCAGAGGCTGTTGGCCGAATATCACATAAGCGATGGTTCTCCAAGACTTGGGGCGACGTATAAACGCCGCCGTCAGCGATTTGACCCGGTCAAATGCGGTTGATGAAAAGGTAGCTTCCAGACACAACGGCCACCGTTCCCTCTACTTCTTCATACTGACCCCCCCTCTAGGCGCTAGATGCTATGATTAAAGAGATATGCGCAGCGCTTCTATCTGCCGACGTAAACGTCCGGTTAGTTCAGCAGCTGCGCAAATCTATAAAAGCTGCCGTTCAGCTACCCTCCATACCCCCAGCGGTCAACAAGAAACGTCTAATTCAGAAGGCCGTTTTTGATCAACTGGTTGCACTTGTCGATCCACATGCTGAGCCTTTCAAGCCGAAAAAGGGCAAATCAAATGTCATTATGATGGTTGGTCTGCAAGGTGCTGGAAAGACGACCACATGTACAAAGCTAGCGAGGCACTACCAGACTAAGGGGTTCAAGGCAGCCCTTGTTTGTGCGGATACATTCCGAGCTGGTGCTTTTGATCAGCTCAAGCAAAATGCTACGAAGGCGAAGATTCCATATTACGGTAGCTTGACACAGACAGACCCTGTTGTGGTTTCATCAGAGGGTGTGGCGAAGTTCAAGAAAGAGCGGTTTGATATCATCATAGTTGATACCAGTGGAAGACATCGGCAAGAGGAAGACCTGTTTGCAGAAATGACCCAGATTCAGTCTGCTATAAAACCAGACCAGACCATCATGGTACTAGATAGTACAATTGGTCAGGCCGCAGAGACGCAATCAGCAGCCTTCAAGTCAGCAGCAGACTTTGGAGCAATCATCATTACAAAGACAGACGGGCACGCTGCAGGCGGTGGTGCCATTTCCGCTGTCGCTGCAACCCGGACGCCTATTATATTCTTGGGAACCGGTGAACATATGCTCGACCTGGAAAGATTTGCACCACGGCCATTTGTCCAAAAGCTGCTTGGAATGGGCGATATGGCAAGTTTGGTAGAGCATGTTCAAGCGGTAACGAAGGACTCGGCTGGCGCAAAGGAGACATATAAGCACATCTCAGAGGGAATCTTCACTCTACGGGATTTCCGAGAGAACATCACATCAATTATGAAAATGGGGCCCCTGTCAAAGATTTCCAGTATGATACCTGGTCTATCAAACATAACATCTGGTCTTGACGACGAAGACGGCTCGCTTAAGCTCAGGCGCATGATCTATATCTTCGATAGTATGACTGCCTCAGAGCTAGACGGAGACGGCAAGGTCTTCGTCGACCAACCTACCCGGGTCGTCCGCCTTGCCTGTGGAAGCGGAACGACAGTCAGAGAAGTTGAAGACCTTCTTTCTCAACATAAGATGATGGCTGGCATGGCCAAGAAAGTGGGAGGACAGAAGAAGCAGATGCAGCGTGCTCAGAATATGCTGAAGGGCGGCAACAAGGAGCAGCAGATGGCAGCTATGCAAAAGAGGATGGCTGCCATGGGCGGCGCTGGCATGCCTAATATGCCCGGAATGGGAGACATGCAGCAAATGATGCAAATGCTTCAAGGAGGCGGTGCAGGCGGTGGAGGAATGCCTGGTCTAGGGGGTATGGATTTACAGAGCATGATGAGCCAGATGAGTGGCCTTATGGGAGGTATGGGTGGAATGGGCGGTGGCCGCGGAGGCAGCAGCAGACGAGGCCGATGATGCCCCCTTTTTCGAACCATTATATATTGATGATTATTTCACTGCATTTTATGGCTGAAGGGAAAGGTACCATAGAAAATGGCGTTTTGGCGTACAGGACAGCCTCAAAAATGCCTCCTCCGAGCAAGCACGTTTTTGTTCAATATCCTCCTTTACCTTCGTTTTAATGGCCGAGGTTGATACCTAGCTCAAAGCCAAAGAGCGTAGCACGAATGAGATGAAACATAAACAGTTGATACAACAAGTATTTTAAAGCCATGCCATGACTATAACGCCAATTTTACTCGTCTAGCCTTTCCTTTTTCAGAATTAACCCGTTCACCCCCTCTACAAGATTGCTGACCTGTGAATTTAGCCAGTATAATCCTCTCCAGAACATAAGAACTCCCATGTCCAGTTTCCCCTTTGGACGGCTAACCAAGTCAAACACCTCCTCACCGTCTGGGAACTCCGCTTCCCCTGCTTTTATATCTGAAGGCATTGAGAGCTTGTATTGCCATACAGCCTCGGAGTTCACGTATAATGTATATGTTAGGTCAGACCCTCCATCCGGATGAATGTCAATACCCACGGCGCCAAACTTGAAGTTGCCGTTTGGAATATATTTAATAGTTACATCCTCATCATCAGTCTGGTAGTAGGAACTGCTGGGAAGGTAGAACTGGTTCAATGGTCCGGCGCAGAATTCATAGATACCCTGACCTTCGCCTTTGGAAAGGGATGAAGATGAGGAGTCGGTCTGCTTTGTAGAAGGGTTGGGGAATTTCGTGGCAGCAAATTCGTGTCTGTCGCCGCTAAGAAGGACGATTCTAGTACCGAGGGTACGTTCAGCTCGCCACATGGCCTCCAGGAGAATTTGACGTTCCTTCAAATATCCTCCCCAAGTATCAGATGTCCCTACGTGCCAGTTCTTGGTAAATGGCACGCTGCTACTGATTATCTTCCATTTCACCGGTGCGGGTTCAGGGCAGGAGATGTAATCTAGTAGGGATTGAAGCTGTGCGTATCCAAGCATAGTTGAGTTATCCAGTCCAGGAGGGGAACGGTATGTTCTTGAGTCCAGGATGAAGAATGACGCAGGTCCCCGAGTGAAGGAGAAATATGTCGTGTTCTCCTGAGATGCGTGAGGGGACTTTGCCTTTGGAGGGTTAACGCTCACATGGTAGTGGTGGTAAGGGTCAATGGCGGCAGGGTATGGTTCAGTGACATTGCCATCGTGCCAATCATTCTGAATCTCGTGGTCATCAAGCATGTGGATCCAGGGAAGGTTTATGGCGGGATTCTTGCCCGTGTGCCAGCTTGGAGATGCGTAGACCTTTTGGTATTCGTCTCTGTAATGCTTGATGGCAGAGCCGAATTGCAGAGGCACATCGATGTAGATGAAATCTCCCAGGAAAAGCATGAACGAAGGTATGGCCAGATCATCCAGCTTAGAGTACACTTGGGAAAGCAGTTCAATTCCGTAAATCCTGAATGGGTGGGAGAATGGATTGTACGGAAAATTCGCCTTGATACAGCTTGTCGTCCAGAAGTTGAGATGCATTGACCCTAGGGAGGTTGGTCCTGGGGCGGTGGTGAACTCTCCGGATATGTTGTTGGATAGCAGGTACTCATACACCATTTCAGGTTCAAGGCCGTCTATTACTACCGGGAACGTGTAGTCCGTTGTATCATTTAGAGTGTCTATCGTTTCGGTCAGCGTCCAAGAATCCGTTGGAGCGTCGAGTTTGAGCCGGTGATACACCGTCAATGGCAGGTTTTCTGGGTCGGGCTCTCGGATGAGAATCTTAGCGCTGTTTTTCGAGACGTATCCAACCCGAGCGAACGAGAGGTCCTTCGTAGGGTACAAAAGCGATCCACGAAAGACGAAATCAAGTATGAAGATGTTGAGCAGTACATTGGCGCCCACAGTAACCCAAGTCACCAGCTTCGAGCTGGTACATGGCAGGCCGGTCAGCAGGGACCGTAATACGGACACCTGTCTGCCATTTCTAGGGCTTTGAGTATCTTTGGTTGACTCTTTGGCCGTGGATGCGGTTGCACGCTGGTCCTCCCGGTCGCGCGTCGAGCTCGAGCTCGAGGACGTCGCCCATATCAAGCTTAGATATATACACAGGGACGACACGGTGATCGGAGGCGCATGATGAGCGGGAATCTAGAGCTCAATGTCAGCTTTGGATGGTCCTCTCGGTCGAGGTGGTGGGAGAGGGCGAGATACCCAGCGTAGGAAGATGTAACCCAGGAACCGGATGAGCGTCGAGCAGACGGTTGCAAGCACTTCCTGATACCGTCGCATGTCTGCAAACTCATCGACCAGCGACTAGTTATCGGCTCGACGGAGCTGTCCGGGCGTGTTCAATGGCAAACAGTCGAGTCCTTGTATCATGAATGTTTCTTGTTTCTTCATGCATGAAAAAATTATATGCGAGGTCGCAGGCAGCAGGCAAAAAGCTAGTTAACTCGTTATTACGTCAGGGCGTAAACAGAGAGACAACGCAGTTTCAGGCTGAACATGGTTTTTTATATATGCAACTTCTACTCCACCAAGGATCGTACGTTAAGACAGTTCTCCTTTTTTTTTTTCTTCCTTTTTTTTTTTGGCCCCTTTTCCTTTCCCTTTGCTTCCAATTCTCTGAATCTACATGGTCTTCGGGGTCGTCTAGAGTGGTCATCAGTTTCTATGCGGGCCATTATTCGCTGCCATCAAGAAAGCTCCAATGACGGCAGTGTCATACAGATATTTCATTCCAAAGATAAAGGACATGATAGCCGCCCATTGCCATGGCTTCTCCTCCCCTCCGGGAAGGGCGTTGAAGTACTCCCACCCGGAGACGCCACCGAACGATGGGTACTTTTGACACAGCGTCGCAAAAACAAGATTCAGAAGCTCCACGGGCACGTAGCCCTGAGTGCCGTTGCGAGGGTTGGTCAAGACTCCGGCAACGATCTTCTCGCTCGGCCACCCGTTAGACATGATGGTTTCGTAGGCGGTTACGTCCTGAATGCCGCCCCAGCCGTTGTAAAACTGAGTGTTGTACCAGGATATCTTGGATCCTCTCTGCTCCTCCAGGGAAAAGTAGCTGAACCCAGAGAGATGCCGTAAACCCCGTACCATGGCCGACGCAACGGGGGCCAGGGTAATTATAAAGCGGTTGCCGAAGTCTGACTTGAGGGCGTCGATGAGCCGGATGATCCCCTCGAGAGACATCTCCTCCTCCACGTCCAGGTCGAGGCCATCGAGCTGGCGAATTCTGATCAGCTCACGGAGAGGAGCGTAGTATTCCATGAATGTATCCCCGTCCAGCCGCCTGAAGCTCCCCTTTGCAGCGCCCCCAAGCATCCCCATCACCTTGATTCCTGCGCCCTGGAGCACCCGCACTTCTTCCCAGAGGGGGCCGTAGCGAGTATGGTCTGGAGAGTCGTCGTTCAAAGTAATGCTCTCTGCGTCCTCGTTGATGTGGAACGCAGCCAGGATGATATGCGTTATGCCGCTGGAGCTTGTGTACAGCGGGAGCAGCGAGACGTAGGGTCCATTATCCGGGAAGTACGTCTGGACATAGGATATCACTCGCGGCCGCCCCAGGGCTTGTGGAATCGGCGGCATCTGGGTATAATTCTACTTCTTCTCGGTGCCTCTTGTCGCTTATCGGGTGGTCTGCCTGCTGCGTTCTGTCTATTGCTGTGGTCTTTGGGCCGTCAAGCTTGCTGCCAGCAAAGGTGGAGTTGCGATTCGCCAACAAGAGTTAACTAACTTAGTTATTCAACTAAAGAGTGGCTGTCTAGTTGGCTATTAATTAATATTTGGTTGGATGGTGGTTGGCCGCGAGCTGGCGCTTCAACGCTCAGCGACTTCACTAACGACCAGGCCACTTCGGACGAACTACCAGCTATCAGCAGCTAACTAACTAGTTAATCAGTTACGCCACTATCTTAGAGACATCTAGAGGAAGCCATCGTGCCTCGGCGACTAGCTAACTAACTACCCAGTAACTTGGCCATCTTGTCGCCGCCCGTTGTCGGTCTAGGCAACGAAATCAAGCCGAGACTGACAGCGCATGACAGGCTGCGCCGCAAAGGAGGCGCCTACGGTCTAGATTCCATCCCATGGCGGATCACATAGGAAGACTCGAGCCGTCGAATCTCTCGGTCATGCGGATGCTACGCCGTTATTATTTCGCAGTGGATGCCGTCACCATCACCACTTCGAGTCCCAACCCAGCTTGCGTGGATATGGATGCCTAACGAGCCATCACCCTTCGAGTATTCAAGAATGAGTCAATATTGCTCATGCATTGTGCTCTTTGAGCAGATGACAGTCGTCCATATTTAGACCAACGTCACCTATGCGCCCCGTTTGCAGGCTCCTGATAAAAATAGAGGCCAGCCCTGTCACCAAACTAGTTATGGCATGACGTCCATGTTCAATAACTAATCTCATGCTCGAAACAGGTCTCCGGCGCCTACCGATACAACAGCCGTGCCGTGTGCATTGAACACTTTAGCATATCGACAATGTCCCGAGCGCGGAATTCGCCTCAGATCCTATTCATAGAGCCTCATCCAGCGCTAGTTAATGAACAAGGGGGATGAATATATGGGTAAACGGTGTCCAATCAACTCTACCACTGGGCTGCATCCAGGAAATCGTTTGTGACTCCAACCAAACGCCCGGGTCTCCCTTGCCCTGTTCTCGCAGTTGTGATAGGCCTTTCGCTGTGTCTCGTGCATTGAAATATCGTTTCTCAATGTCACCCAGGATCGAAGTTAGTTAACCGCTGCGCCGCAAAGTTAAGGCGCTAAGTAGAATATTGATATGAGCGAGAAAAGTTATACGAAATGAATTATATAAGACGAAGAGATCCCCGCTCCTCTTCTTAGTCTAAAATCACCCCTTCTTACCGCTGTAACTCATTAACACTTATACATTATTTTCTATCAGTCAAAGGAACTGTCTTGTTGTTCTACCAGTCAATATGTGGCCCTATGCTTCAGATATCAAGATCAGATTCCCCGAACGGCTCCTGTGGGAGGAGTTTGAGGACTCCAAGCCGTACCTGAATCCAGACACAGAATACCTCCCTATCCCCGAATTCAGCGCATCAAACTATCTGAGATCTTGGTGTGAATCCTACCCAACGCCCAACTTCGACTCCAATCGGATCTACTCCAGTGACTACGAAACGTTACTCTATCCACCTTCCCTATCGTCAAGCGGGTTACACAGCGGTTACAGCAGCGGTGGATACCTCTCGGACTGCGGGTCTAGATGTCTCCAATTTGGCTGTGGCCGACTGACCCAACTGGGATCATACTACTGCGCAGCTCGTAAGTGCTCGACAATATTTACTGCGTATTAGTTTATAGCGCTGACCATCAATGAACTTCTCAGACATTTGACAGCTGCACCGTGCGCCTTTACGCTTTACGAGTTAATGCCATCGAAGGGAGGATAACTGTCTGGGACGAAATGAGTCTGGTGGTGGGAATGATAACGTGTGATTGAGTTTGTTTTGTCCTGCTATTTCCATACATCGTCATGACCTTGATGTAAATGATTGCTCTGTACGAAGTACTTCTTTTTTTTTTTTTTTCGTTAACTGTATCTACCTTCTTTATCTTTCGGAATAAGTACTGTCTTTGTTTTCAGCCTCAACTACAGAATTAAGCTTAGAGTTGCGGCCGCGCCCCACCGGAGCGGCGGGTCGCCAAAATGACGGAAATAGCCAGTTTGATGCTCGTCAACTCCAACCAGGCAATGAAGCAGGCACATCGCAATGTATTTCCTAGTTTGATATCTAATAGGAGTCGTCTTGCGGAATCCTGATATCTATCGCACCAGTGATATCTTTAATATCATGGAATAAATCGCTGGCTTCCATGAAATAACTTGTACCAGTTTCTATACATCCCCCAACATAAAGTCCTACAAATGATCCGTTTCGATCCATTATGATAGCACCAGAATCCCCAGGATCGCCAAATGTCTCTGGGGGAGCAACAGGAAAAATCTCATGAAGTGAGCCACGGGCCTTGGTCCAGCTTCCATCCTGGTTTTTTGACCAACTTTGTAGATCAGCAACATGTAGAGCACCGAGTCGGCCTTCTGTAAAACCAGTTCTACGGCCGATTTTACACAGGTGCATGTCGGCTTCGAGATATGTGGCTGCCTGTAAGACTGTACCGTCTGGGCGGTATCTCTCTCTGCGGCTTCTGGGAATTTCTTCCGCCGATGGTATTTCATTGTTGGACAGTCTCCCGCGTTCTACTTCAATCAAGGCCCAGTCTAATATCCTGTTCGTTGCGGTTATCCTAAACCCTGAGGCTGTATATACTCTTCCCAGATATTGGTTTCCTTTCTGGTGAAACTCATTAGCGAGATCGATGGTCTTGATATACCTATTCAGAAGATCCGTATCGTATTTGAAGTTGGCCTTTTGACTCCTAGAAAGAGATGGACCTTCGCCTTCGAACCGTCTTTGGACCTCATAATACTTCTGTGTTTGGATGTCTGCAGCCTTATCCTCATAATATTTCATAGACATGTTATGATCGCCAAGGCTTGGATGATCAATAGAAATGTTATTTCTAGAGTCATCAGGTATAATTCCGTGTCTTTTCCAGTCATCGAGGCAATGATCATTTGCTATAGAGTGAAAGTTTGTCATACCAAATCTTTTCCATTGGTGATGGCAATGGAATTGTAACTCAACAAACCCTCCAAAAGTGAATGATGAAGTGGATTCTCCTCCCATTCCGAGACTACCGCCAAGTTTAGCCTTCTTATTCCAGTCCTGCTCATCGAGAATAGCTGCTTGCTCCGGGTAATGAAATATTGAGTCACGGATTATTTCCACGGCAGTATGGGTCAGATCATTGGTATCCAAGTGATGAACAATACTATCTCGAACATCATTCCAGTTTTGCCGCGAGTCCTCCCTGACACAAATTACTACCGTGTGTGCAAACTTGCCATTTCGGGGACCCCTAAGGTGAGCAGAGAGAAGGGTCCATTCCCTTCCTTCGAGAATATTCAATATCTGACCCTTTAAACCTTGCCATTTATGTATAAATGGATCAGTGGCCGTGATTGATCGTGAGAATACGGGTTCCAGAGCTCTTTCATCGGAGATTTCGATTTTCAATCTTACCTGACCATGCTGTAGGAAAAGGTGATGGATCTCCTGGCAAGCATGAAGCCAAGAACTATCGAGCTCATGTTTTTTGGCAGAGACAACGACGGTCTCTGCCGATGTGTCAGGGCTGTCTCTAGCATGATATCGTCTTACCAAATGTATATATTTGGAATCAACATTCCACTTTTCAAGTATATCTCTTAGTGGACCTACCAGCTCCTCGTGGTAAAGTATATAGAGAGGCTCATTGGGTTTTAATATTTCGTTGAGTGTAGGGAGCCTTACAAGACCTGGGCCACCACAACGGTAATCTTCATTTTTAAAACCGTTATTGCCTAGAATCGCGAAACCGTTTTCCTCAGAAGAGCCCTCTCTCTTTTTTATCCTCCTTGTAGCCTGAGGTGTTGTCTCCACGCCACTTTCGGCGGTAAGAAGAGGGCCAGCAAAAGAAACTGCTGACGTTGAGAAGTGTTCGGACATGTCAGCATCTCGGCCCATAGGCATGGTATTTTGTGACGCAGTAACCAGAGGAGCAGGAGAATTAACTAATGCTAGCCTTGGAGAGTGGAATTTAAGCAAGGAGTGTCTAAATCTCAGGGATAAAAATTAGGGAAGAAAAATGGCCAGTGGAAGACGGTCTGGAGTTTATATAGACGTCCAAGTGACGGCATCAATCACTGGGCGACAAAGGGCCCCACTTTTACCGTTGAATTAAGAGACAGCTTTATTATAAAGCTAGTTATTCAATACCATTGCGCTAATTGGATAAAACGTCTCCACCAACCAATGAATTTTCATCACTGACTGTTGCGTAGGTAAAAATAAAGGATATTCATTGGTTGAACAAAAAATTAGAGTATATTATAAATAGTAAACCAATAGAATACATAAGCAATGAAAGCCAATAGTTTAAAAGTAATTATATATCCCAGTACAAATCGTCTAAGTATATAGACACCGCTCCCTCAATTACAGTTTAGAAGGTTATAAAATTAGGCTGCTAACAAGCTAATACACCATATGCTCAAAATCACAGAAACATAACTGATGGACACCTCGACATACCAACAAGGAAACTAAACCAAGCCTTCCAGCTCACCAAGCTGTATGACCGCCATCGATTATGAGCGAGCTGCCAGTCATATAACTGCTAGCCTCACTCAACATAAAAACAACCGCTCCGGTAAACTCTTCAGGTCGAGCTAGACGGCCTAGCATACTTTCCTTTATCCAAATCTCCTTCAGTTCCGGAACTTCTTCGAAATTTTTCTCAACCATAGGAGTGATGATATGCCCGGGACAGAGAGAATTCACACGAATACCCTTCGGGCCCCACTCCATTGCCAGATTGCGGCCAAGCTGGACGACTGCTGCCTTCGAAGAGTTGTATGTGGCTGAATGAAGTCCCTTGTTCGCTACAAAGCCGCTCATACTAGCGACTAGGACTATCGACCCTCGGGTCCCTGACTCAATCATATGTCGAGCGACTGCCTGAACCGTCATGAAGAGTCCGGTATAGTTCACATCCAACATTCTAGTAACGTCTTCTAGAGTGAAGTCAACTGCATCCTTGAGCTGCTGGATTCCTGCAGCAGCAACAAGCCCGTCAATCCTCCCTGATAGGCCGGCAACTCTATCGACCGCTTCCTCCAGATGTTTCAAATCACGGACATCAACATGATGGTAATGTAGCGAGCCAATGTGATCGTTGTTCGCGATTTCCTGGGAAACGTAGAATTCTGAATCTGGCTCGGGCAACACATCAAAGCAATGAACTATCACACCTGTTAATACAGGGACGCACGGAGAGGTAGAAGGACAAACCATCGGCTCCTGCCTCAGTCATTGCCTCTGCAATCACAAGGCCCAAACCTCTGCCGCCCCCGGTAACAATGTATACTTTGTCCTTCAAACTAAAGTTTGGATACACCTTTTGGTGGTATTTTGGGGTAGAATCGCTCGGCATCTTGATACAGAGAGGAAGTAACAACACATAGATCACTCAATGAACAGTTGCTAGGCAACTGAAGGCTGAATAGTAGTCAGTACAATACCGACATAGGGTATATATCTATTCATTCCACCTAGAGCTGCTGCGCAGTTGACGTCATCACCAAGGTTTGGGTTGATCCAGCCATTGGCCAGGAAGGAGTGGTTATGATTTCATAAAACCTAGATGAATTGGAGTCGAACGCGCGTGCGGGGTAGTCGAGGCTCACTTCCCCATAAAATCAAGGCGTACCTGGGCAGGCGTTGACTCGGATAACGCGGCCTTCAGCGTGTTCCAAGGATGAAGAACAAGCTGGAGTTTTGTGAGATCAAAAAGTTCCAACTTAAAAATCAATATATTTCTTGGAGCGCGCGTAATGCATCACGTGATAAAATTTTGACACTAACCGGAAATAGAAAGATGTAAACACTGCGACCGGTGCGGCGGCAAAACTTTGAGAAAGAAAACAGCATGAAAGGGAGTTGGTGGACTGCTCTGACATAGCAGACGGCATTGCACTCTTGGTAGGCCTCCAACCATGGCAAACCGCTTCTCGTCACCATGTCCAACCTCCCACGACACCCCTGGTCAATCTAGGCTCTTCGCTAGCCCGTCGGGGTCCGCAATTCCACGTCGAAAATCGCTTCCGCACCTGAGAACGAAGAGAAAGAGCATATTGAGCACCAATCCTCAAAGCCCTCATAAGCCTACAAGCCCTTACATTTCTCGAAAGAGTCGGATCCCCGTCAGAGAGTCTCCGAAGAAAATGACAAACAACGACAACAGTGACTCGGAAGTTGACCTGAGCGAATACACATTTGACCTCAACAAACTTCCCGGTGAGCTAGTTAGTATTGGAAAGGAGGATAGTGAAAAGAAACACAAGATACAGGAGGATGGCAACAATCCTTCGTCTGATATCGAGGGTCCTGAGGACTTTACGCTAAACATGGTCGAGCTTCTGAAGAACGCTGACCTGGAGGACACGCAAAGAACCCAGGTGCAGGTTAAAGGAGAAGGAAGCAAAGTCAAGGCAGATGCCAGTAGGGAAGATCAAAAAGAAGCAGTGGATGAACAAAATGATGGGAATGATCCGGAGGGACCAACGAGAGCCACAGGATTACCGGACTATACCCACCTCGAGCACACTATGGAAACTTCCACACCTGCACACTTTCTCTGGAGAGACGTAAACGAATCTTTACAAAACACATCGATATCAAAGCATCAGCCTACCCCATCTAGAAACATCAACGAAACAGGCGATGTAAAGGAAACCTCGGTTATTTATACCCCGGCTCGAAAATCAGCTCCGGCGACTCCCACAGGAGACCTGTCCAGGATGGACGATACGATAAACAGCCAGCAGGGAGACCAGACATTGTGTGCTGCTCAGCAGATCTGTCAACTCGAATTGGATCTCGAAGCTAAAACGAGACGCATCCGAGAGATGGAAGCGAAGCTGACGGAAGAAACCTCTTTGCACAAGGAGATAGATGAACTGAAACAACAGCTGCAGAGGCGCGACGAAATGAATAAGCTGACGGATGCGGAACTTAATGAATTACGAAAAACCAAGTCAGAGTTGGAACAAGCGCGAAATGACGTTGCTAGCCTGACTTCAAAAGAGTCTACCCTTAGGGGTAACTTGAAAGACAAAACTAAACAATTGAGAGATGTGGAGAAGAAGCTGGAAGAAGCTCGTTCAGCTCATAAGCGCCACTCCGAGGAAATAAGTGCAGAATTGAAGCAGACAAAACAAGACTGTGAAAAGAAGCTCGGCGGAGTGTACAGCCTGAAGTATCAGTTAACATCCGTCACCAGGGAACGGGACTCGATCCAGAAGACCTCAGAGGATCTGGAGAAGACTGTTCAAAACTTGAAGGCGCAGTTGGAATCGACAGAGTCTCAAAAAGCCGAAGAAGCCGCAGAGAGTTTGGCAAGGCTAAGGGAAATTCAGAAATTTGCAGGAGAGCTGGCCCTCCCTGCGTTGGGAAAACCTTTCTTTGAAATCGTTGCTCTTTTGAGAGAACATGTGAAAAATCTGAGTGAGAAGTCTTTAGAAGAGCAGAAACAGCGCTCGAAAGAATCTGAAGATGCACAGAAGGAATTGCAAAAACTACTCAAGAAGGCCAATGGCGCGGCACGTCTCGAAGCTCGAAAGGCCGAACTCTATCGTGACCGTCTCACCGAGACTTCTTCCAAAATTGAGTCTGTTAAGAACGAAAACACCGAGCTACTCGAGAGGATCGCTGTTCTCACCTGCGATAATGCAAAGCTCAAAAAGAGGGCAACTGAGACTACCCAGGAGCATGATCAAGCGCTCGGAGCTTTGCAGAAACTTCGAGCAGAGGCCGAAGAGTCACACAAGTCACAGATAGCAAAGCTCAAATCATCCCACTCTGAGCAGCTAGCCAAATATCGAAACAACACTCAGGGCCCTAGCAGTGAACTCCAGGCCCGTTTGGCTGCCTCTAAGAACAGGGAAAGTGTCCTTACGGCAGAGCTCAAGGCAGAACAGGCAGCCAAAGAGAAGCTCGAGAAAGACATGGCGCGTATGGAAGCCGAAATAGCACATCACCATATGACACAGAAGAGACTCGAAGCTATCATCAAGGCTAATACTTCTGCTGCGAAGAAAATCGACGGCAAGATTGTTGAAATCATGCGCGAGAGAGAAGACGTTTGGAAATCCCGTGTTGACGAGCTCACCAGGGACAACGACAAATTGGGCAGGGTATTGATGACTATGTGGGGGAAGCAGGAAGTTGGAGACAACATCGTATCGAAGAGAAATGAAAACGGGGATAAACAGGGGTACAAGTATAAATATGCCAGAAAGGTACAGGACATTGAGATTGGAGAGATTTGGAATACCCTTTTGGGAGAGCCGGCTAGCTGATCCAGGGGCTTCCTGCGACTGGATAATATTAGCCTGGATATGCTTTTGTCTTTGGTGCTTGTCTATCTATTCAGATCTTTCTGGGACTTATAGCGTGTATGAATAATGTGTTTCCTTTACTGATGCAAAACTTTTTTTGGGTTATTGATATTTGGTGTTATTGTTATCTATCTCCCTTATCTCCATTATCTTGATCTAGATCTTATCAATCGCTGGGTTTCATCTAGATGCACGTGACTTTCACCTCGGCTCCTGTGGGGAGTTGGCCCGAGCTCCAGTTCCTGTACGGTTATCAGATCGCGAGAGCCAGGCAGTCAGTCAAGGAGCAGACAGACAACCAGGTTTGTTTCAACTATATCCCACTAAAGGCTCCTTTACCTGCCTGGGTTACTATTACCTAGAAATTGGGCTGCAATATGGCAGGCTCTGCTCCCCCATTGCAGGGTATACGGGTTGTCGAACTCGCTGGTCTAGCACCAGGTCAGTTGGTTATCAATCGCTAAGTCATTTTACCACAGTTGAATCACCCCCTAATTAACATACTTAAGGCCCATTTGCGGGTCTCATGCTCAGCGACTATGGCGCATCTGTCGTTAGAATCGATCGACCGCATCCCAATGCCCATTCGCAGTCAAAGCCCGTCCCACCCCCTACATTTGACGCACTGACCCGACACAAAACATCCATCAGCCTCGATCTCAAGAACCCTGCTTCAAAGGCCGTTCTGCTCTCCTTGCTATCAAAAGCCGACGTCCTGATCGACCCTTACCGCCCTGGCGTCCTGGAGAAGCTAGGACTATGTCCTACAACTGTGCTACTGAAGCATAACCCCCGCCTTATCATTGCGCGCATGACTGGGTTTCGTCGCGATGGGAAGTACAAGGACATGGCAGGTCACGATATAAACTATATAGCAGTTTCCGGGGCTCTCTCTCTCCTAGGCCGGGAAGGACAGAAACCATACGCACCGGGGAACATCCTCGGGGACTTTGCTGGCGGCGGAGCGGTGTGTTTCCAGGGAGTATTACTTGCGCTGCTTGCTCGTCAGACCACAGGCAGAGGCCAAGTAGTCAATGCCAATATGGTAGATGGGTCAGCATACCTGGCTACATTCCCCCGCTTGGCGAGGCAGACACCAATGTGGAATGGGCCTAGAGGCTGCAATGTTCTTGACGGCGGGTGTCCGTACTACGACACGTACGAGACCAAGGATAAAGGGAGATATTTTGCCGTAGGAGCCTTAGAGCCACAGTTTTATACTGCGTTGCTTGATGGGCTGGGGCTGAGAGAGGAAGAGGTGTTCCCTCTTGGCTCGAGTATGGACAGGCAGGACAAGGAGAACTGGCCGTACATGCGAGCTGTGTTTGCACGGAGGTTCCGGGAAAAGACCCGGAGTGAGTGGGAGGCTATATTTGACGGGACGGATGCTTGTGCTACGCCCGTGCTTACGATGGACGAGCTCGAGGAGGCAGGGTACGACCAGCGGCCTGTTGTTGGGCTGTCAGATACGCCGGGACTAGACATCAGGCCTGATGACGGCGGATGGAGCGGGGGCGGCATTCATCCTGGCTCCGGGGGCGAGGAGACATTAAAGGACTGGCTTGGATGGCAGGCTGGAAGGGACTATCAAGTGCATAATGGAGCTCTTGTTAAAGTTAAGGTTGTTGCCCGGACGAAGCTCTGAGTTGGTCAAATTTATTCCTAGCCGGTTAGTTATTTTGGCCTCGTTGCTTTTTTGCTTGTACATTAAGGTAGTAGCAGTGATATTAACTCCAGGCATATGTTTTTTTTCCTTTTCATTGCATTAACTATTGCCTAATAGCAGCACTATGGACATGGATTAAGCATTAAAAACAGCCTTTTGTTTGTTTGTTTGTTTTCAATGCGAATAAAAAAAAGGGTATGGTGAGAGTGCCTGAAAATTCAACAGACTCTCAGCGGGGACGGCGAGTGGGTGGGTAGTTTTATACTGAGGACAAAGGGGGATGGATACCATGCATGTAAGTAAGAAGCAATTGTATTCTCGGGAGAAAGGAAGATCGTAAAGGGTCAAACATCCGGGGGGTGAAAGGAGGATAAAACAAAGCGTAGGAAGAAGTAGAAGTAGAAGAAGAAGAAGTAATTGGCGTAGAAGAGAACAAAAGAGGTGGATGAACACCAGGTTCTCCAGACCCGAATGTTGAGAACTATCGAAAAAAGGTGGAGGAGAGAGAAGAGAGAGAGAGAGGGAGGAAGGGAGGGAGAAGCAAAGGGGGAGGTCGATTAATCGCTTAGGTCTGGGTTGGCTACGAAAAGCCTGACGCCGGTCATGCTGGACGTGCGCTCGTCGACGCTGCCTCGCCGTTTCAGGTCGTCTGAGATCTTCCGTTTCTGCATGGCCGTTGACATGCCCGTGGGAGCCGCCATTTCCGTAATCTTGCCGAACTCGTCCTCTTCCTCGCTGTGTGAGGTAGTCGGACGCTGCTGGTCGGAGGCGGTATTAGCAGACGATCGATTGGGCTTCTTTAGGAAGTGTTCGTCCTTGATGTTCTCCAGGGTGGCAGCAGGCGTCTCGACGATGTCTGGTATGTCTGCGTTGGGAGGGGTGTTGTTTGCGCTGCTGCTGCTGCTGAGACGAGTCTGGCCGGCGGCCCGCTGGTGAGCAGCAGATATGCGATTGCTGGCCGTCGAGCTCCTGCTGCTGCCCGTGCGGCGATGTATAAGCTGGCTGGCGTCTATGCGGTCGTCGAGCCCGTCGTCTGCGCCTCCGACCTCGTTTGCGCTCAGCCGTAAGGGGACGCCGGCGCCAACCATGGTGCTGGTGTTGTAGCTTATAGAACGGCCGTTGCCGCTGTGTCTGATCTTGCCTCCGCTGATCAGGGTGCTGCTGCGGGTGGAGGAGCTGCCGTGGACTTCGAGCAGGGCACGCTGTTTGGCAGCGCGGCGCTGGGCGAGCAGGCGGGGGTCCTCTGCCTGAGCCCGATCGCACCAGACGGTAGCCTTTTGCTTGCGCAGGAGAGCCACGTAGCTGATCTGCGGCCGCTGGGAGATGGTGCTGTATCTGGTATCGAAGCTGACCTGACTCATCTGGCGGGCTGGGGCAGCGTTTCCGCCGCCGGTAGAGGTGGTGCAAGTCGTTGCATTCGACGCTCTACGAGACGGCGGGGCAGCACCGTACTGTGCCTGCAGCTGGTGCTGGGGGTATTTCTGCTGCTGGGGATACTGCTGGGCGTGGTAGAACTGCTGCTGCTGGTAGTTCTGCGGAGAGGCTGCCTGCTGGTGGAACTGGCGCTGGGAGTACTGTTGCTGTTGCTGGGACTGCTGCTGCTGGGACTGCTGATAGAACTGCTGGCCCTGCTGGCCCTGCTGGCCCTGCTGCGGCAGCGGAAACCCCGCGACGGACTCTCTGACGGGCAGCATGTCGGCGGGCAGGAAGGAGGAGCTGGCGGTGCGCGGGCGGTACTGGGAGCTGGCGGGCCTGGCGATGCTGGAGACGCTGCCGGCGTGGAGGTGCGACGGGCCCTCGGGGAGATGCGGCGAGCTGCTGCTGCTGCGGGAGTCGAGCGTGTGGAACTGGAAGCCGGCATTGCCTGGCACCGGCTTGCGGGGAGGCGCCTTGTATACAGGCGAGCGATAGTCTGCCATCGTCATTCGGCCTGGGAGTCTCGCTGGCGTGATTCTCTTGCTTCTTCTTGCTTCTTCTTCTTCTTCTTCTTCTTCTTCTTCTTCTTCTTCGTCTTGCTGCTGCTGCGGCGGTCCTCAGCAGCGCGGCCAGGGGCTCGATCGACGGCGGAAATACGAGCTGCTCGAGGGCTATGCTACCGCATCTGTCACTCTGACAGTCCTCTGGTCCGCCACTGGCAAGCTGTCAGCGGTTGCAGCGGGAGGTCGGGGGGGGGTGGTTGAGATTGGAATCGCGATCGCAGGCCAGGAAGAAGAAACGGGCCGAAGCGGACGGCGGCTACGGCGCGACCTCGACCGGGACTGGGCTGGGCAGAGCGAGACGGGCATGCGAGGGCCTGCCGCAGGGACAGGACGGTAGATACAGGCAGAAGCAAGCAGCTGGAGTGCGAAGATCGCGAGAGCGAGGGCGGGCGTTGGATGTATGTATAGCCGCCGCAGCTGGAGGTCTTTTTTCTGATGCCAGCGAAGAATCACAGCAAAAGAAAAAAAAAAAAGGAAAAAAAAAAGACAAACCCTCCAACGCCACTGCTGAGACGCTGCGAAGCTTGGAACTGCTACGGTAACAGCTCGAGCGAGCGAGCCAGACGAGCCAGACAAGAGCAGACAGGCGGATTCACCAGGAGGCTGCTGCTGCTGGGCGATGAGGAAACAAGCATCTTGCCGCGCTGCAGGGGGCAGTCAAGGGCCTTATACTGGGACTTGTTATGATTATAGATATCTACATCTACGGCCGGCGGGCTAGAAGTCATGGCAAGGCATGGCAGAGAAGCAGCAGACTCGGCTTGGGCTCGGCTCGGCTGGCATGGATGGCTCTGGATAGCTATCTCGACTGGCTGTGCGTCTCGCTAGAGGGAGTGAATGGCATTTAAGGGGCCAGCAGGACGAGAAGGACTCAAGGGCTCAACGACTGACTCAAGGGCTATAAATAGAGGCTCTCTCGCACTGGCAGCGGGCTTGCTCGCTAAATTAACGTCCCAGCTGCTCCCAGGCCAGCCAGGAGGCGGCTCAAGCAGCGAGTTAGCAGTTAGCTCGCAGTCGAGAGACGGCAGAAGGAGAGACGACGCAGGGCAGGGCATGGCATGGCCCGGATGCAAGGCGCAGTGCCGGCCAGAGCTTGCCCAGACACCACCAAGTTGACTGTCTGGCGAGACGTGGCTTGCTCTCTGCTGGTCTGATAGTCTGAATAGTCTGATAGTCTGCCAGTCAGCCTGTCAGGCCGCCAGTCGGTCGATGTTGGGAGCAAAGGGGTTGGCAGCCTCAAGGTAGGCTCTCGAGTCTTGAGTCCTGACAGATACTTGCATATACTGCATATAACTGCTCCGGATAATGCTGTGATAGTTAAGGATCAGAGCTATGCATATAATCGAGGAACCAAGCACTTAACTGCCATGACGGCATCCCTGGCTGTTTCGTTTCTTTTTGCGGGCTCTTCTTGCTGAAGCCTTGCTGCCCCTGACCAAGGCCTGTGCTGCTGGATTCCTCAAAACTCCCGCACCGCCGCCCAGCACTGGCAGATAATAACAATAATAATAATATGGATAATAATGATAACTAATGATGATAATGGAGATCTGACAGCCTTGGCCGAGCCGGCGAGTCTTGGGAGATCGTGCAGACAGGTAGTCTACTTACTGTCTATACCTACGGGACAGCGAGCTGCTCCGTACTCTGTACAGAGTTCGTATCAGACAAAGAGCCGGATAGTCACAGCCTCCCCACGGCCAGTCATGTTGCATCATCTTCTCTCCATGCGAAGGTCGGCCCTTTGACAGCTCCATCGATGGCCTTTATCATCCTTCGCTACACTTTTTGTGGCGCCGGGGACGCTAGGGACTCGACTTCCGGCCATCCAGGGTTGAGTGGAGAGAGACAAGAAATGGAATTAATAGTTAACTAGTTAATTAGGCCTGCTTGCTCTGCTTGCTGCAGAAGAGCCTTGCAGACCAAGCTGCCTTTTATGCCTGACGGGAGGGCCCTTCATTCTAACTATCACAAGCAGTCTCTCTGCCAGGAGAAAGACATTCCCCCTCCGCGAGCCAGCTAAGAGCTCACTAACTAACTAACTAACTAATAACTATGGAGTCCAAAGAAGAGTCTCGCGGAGTCGGCGGGACCCTGGAGACTCACTCGGCATCGGCAGTGGAGAGTACTAGCACGAGCAGCCCTACTGCGTTGCCGTTGGAGGTCGATGATGATGTCCGTTGGTGATCTATATATGACCCCCTTTTTTTTTTTTTCTTTACTACCATGTATATAGCCGGCTGACGGACAGGTAATAGCACGAAAGCGACTATTCCGATGAGCTGTATGCATCACTCTCTTGCCGTTATTCTCCTGCGGTGCGACATGAAGATGCACGTCGTCTAACGGGCCTGCAGGTCGAAGTACTCAGCCTCCCTAACATCCAGCGTTGTCGACTATCCCGTTGTGCATGGTCGAAGATACCACGCCTACTGTCGGGGCAGTGAGTAGGGCTATTATTATTATCATTATCATCATCATCATTATTATCAATGTCTAGTTAGTTAACCAACCGTAGGATACATGTTCCCCAATGACGAGCAGGAGAACGAACGACTGGACATCCACCATGCGCTCATCGACACCCTCTTGCATGGCCGGCTCCATATAGCCCCTATCAGCAAGGATCCCCAACGAGTGCTCGATTTATGCACCGGAACCGGCATAGTACGTGCTTCTACCTGTCTTACAATCAGTTATTGCTTTTACTAACCTGTCATCACAGTGGGCTATCTCATTCGGTAATATCACACACACCCTCTCCCCCTGAGCACTCCGTAATGGGCCTGGCTATGGCTAACAGGACTCTCTATCAAGCCGATGAATACCCATCAGCTGAGGTGCGAACCTTCCCATACAACCTCGCCAATCAGCCGCACTACTAACGCTGCGAACAGGTCATAGGGAACGATCTAAGCCCTACCCAACCTTCTCTGTATGCATATCTATATATATATATATATACCCACTCCTTGGTCAATATCTCGCTTACATGCAGGTAGCGTGCCGCCGAATCTGAAATTCATCGTTGACGACGTCGAGGATGAATGGGGCTACGAAGGCAGTCCCTTCGACTACATCCACGGCCGCTTCCTGATTGCATCCATCAGAGACTGGCCCAGGCTAATAAAGCAGGCCTTTACGTATGCAACCTGCCTATCCAGTTACACTCTGCCTGGCTAGTGGGCCCCCGTCTAACTAACAAACATCAAGTTGTACGAAACCCGGAGGATGGGTCGAGTTCCAGGACTGGGACGGCACTATCCGCAGCGACGACGATACGTTAAAGGGAACCCACCTATTCCAGCTGCAGGAAACAGTTAAAGAGGCGTTTATCGAGATGGGCATCAATGCGAACCCAGGTGCTGAATGCGGTAGCTGGCTCAAGGATGCCGGGTTCATTAACATCACCACCCAGGTTACTATCCTCCTTTTCTTTTTCTTTCTTTCTTTTTTTTTTTTTTACTTCATCCCTAATTCCAGTATATGTATAGTGCTAACAGACGGCGGGGGCAGAAATATAAGGTCCCGCTTGGGACGTGGCCGAAGGATAAACACTTGAAAACCGTAGGTGCGTATAACTTGCTTCAACACACCGAGGGACTAGGGGGTATTGCCAATCTGCCTTTGATCAAAAAGGGCTGGCAACCAGAGGAGATTGAGGTCCTTTTGTCAAAAACGCGGGAAGATCTAAGAAACCGTTCCATTCATGCGTATTTCAATTTGTAGGTTTAGTACATGCCTTGTTTCTACCGGTTTTTGGCCTTGGTCATGGACTAACGTGGGAGCTGGATAGTTATGTCGTATACGGTCAGAAACCTGATGCTACGTCGGCTACGGGAGGATGAAGATCTTTTTTTTTTTTTTTTTTTTTTTTTTTTTTTTTTTTTCGAACGGGTATAACTTAAGTTAGTGTTTCTTTATTTCTGTGGGTGCAGCGATCATTTTGAATATTCTCCAAATAGATACCCTTGGTATTTCAGAAATAGGCAACGCGTCAAAATCCTGTTTTAATTGACTGCTCATCCAAAGAGCTTGAGATGTAATCGCCATTTGAACCTCAGAGTACATGCAGAGTGCCCTTTTTCTTTTGAATAGTTGTGACTTCAATGTATCCATTGGCGGCCAGACCGATCCACTGACTTCGTCTCTCTGAATCCTAAGACAAGTCGAAAAGACCAGGTCGGGGAAGAGAGAGCAACCGGCCGGCAGGGTCCCTGCGGGAAGTCGGCAACACGTTGTTGCGAAATAACGCGAAAGCCATGAAGGGATAGGCCATTTGCAATTCTCGTGATCTATTCCTTAGGGGTGAGCCAGCTGCCCATCCCACGATCCTAGTACGAGCATGGAAGAGCGCTACACCAACATTGTAGCCGTGCGCCTGGTAAAAACAAAATTCATCACTCTGCTCCATGGCTGAGAAACTCGCAACATCCGCACACATGCCCTCATGGTACTGAAACTTGATTCGGGATTGCGGGAAATACCGGGCCCTGCTGTCCACGAGAGTAAAGACCTGAGATAAATTCGGGTAAGTTACCACGGCCAGCATGTATACGGGGGCTCCGGCCCTCCGTTCCGGGGGGGTTTGGTAGCTGGCAGCCAGGTGAGTTTTCCCTGGCTTAAGCAATTCGCGCGGGATTGGAGCGTCTTCTGTCAAAAGTCCAATCTCTACCGCCTGGTACTCAAACTTGTGTAGTATGTGCTTGCTGGGCGGGTCTGGGATTGCATCTGCTGTTGTCCAATGATGGAAGACCATGGAGAGAAACGTTTTTATCTCCTCTTTCGTAACCTCAACATTGGGGTCCGTGTATTTCTTGATGCGGCGAATGTATGCCCGGAGTTCCTTCTTTTGCTCAACAGAAAGCTGATCGGGGGAACAAATCAAATTTTTTGTAGCCCCTGGCATGACGGCAAGCGCTGGTGAAGAGCCAGAAGCGTCCATTCTTTCCGTTTCCTCGTCTCTCGAGGAATGATGGGATTTTTCTGCCCCTTTTGGTTATCCAGTCGAGAAAAATAATGACAGTGACGTAGAAGAGAGCAAGGCTCGTCAGAAAAAGGATATCCTAGATAGATTCATCAGTCTGGACAAATTCTTGGAGGGTTGACATGAAAGCTATGCCATAGATGGCCAAAAGGCTGGCCAGGAAGTAAAAAAATCGGGTATACCTAGACGTGAGAAGCGAAATTCAATTCAAGTCCCTTGTCGAGTTTACGCAGCAAAGGTAGATAAACTGGACTTGGAGTGTAAATGAGCATACAAACTGTGGCGTTTCACTCCCGGTAAAGGTTCTCAAGGCCTATGGTATGGGCTCAAAAGGAAAGCAAGCTTCGAGGACAGCCAACTAGAAAGGAAGGAGTGGTATCATCATACAAGAAAAAGGTCAGAGACTTTAGCCTCTGTCAGGCTATTCAGTGACTAATGTTCACATTGCTATTTGATTAACCTAGCATGCGATATTGGGGAATTATCGCATCGTTGATGCCCCCGATATTTCTTTCACTAGGAATAACTTTTTAGATGCTTCCTACAATATCATAAAAAGCATCACCAAATAACATAGTTATTCTTTGAGCCCTTATCATTATGTCTATCAAATGGGTATCATCTTATAATCCAGTATATTTCGTCAGAATATGGTCATTTTATTTTATATATAACCGCGTTGTTGTTCTGTTCTCTCTCTCTCTCTCTTCTTTTTTGCTGCCGAAATAGACGCCGTGATTAGTCATAAAAGTCAAATCACGTGCCTAATTAATCGAGTTGACGCGTTTAGTTCGCGTTTGTTGCAGTCTCGAAGCGACAAGCAGGCAGCAAACACACTTGGACAGACAGGAGACAAGACGGTTGTACGGCCCATGACTTGTTTCTGCATCTTTGATCTTCCCATTTGACAGAGATATACGCCCTCATTTGGTCCCCAAGCCGAATATTGTCACGTCATAGCTCGAATACGACTGCCGCTCGCTACAACTTCAATCAAATATTGACAGCCTCCGAGACACGGATTCTTACCCCTTGGCCCATTAGCTACGCATTGACATAGAACTCCGTCGATTTCCACGCGAACTTTTCGATAATTGGCAATTACTAGAGGGACTCCTGTGCGGTAATACCTAGGTGCATGGTTGAAAACCGCGGATCAGGGCAAAAATCTATGATTATTTGCAGTCCTTCACAACGATCAATATAGATTAAAATGACAGAGGTCGATGTTCGTCCAGGCATGAATGGACTACCTGCTTCAAGATTGACCCCGGATCCCCCAAAGAAACGGATCTTCGAGGAGTTGGAAACTACTTCGCAACCTAGTTCTACACCCACAGTACAATCCAATGTTGACAGTGCTGTTGATTCTCATAGCTCCTCCAACCATGATCCGTCACCTATAAATGCAGGCCCTGCTCCAGCGGATGCTATCCCTCAAGCCTCAAATGATATAACCACTGGTGAAAATCCTTCTACCCCTAAAGAGAAGCCAGCCAACCCCAATAAAAAACGCAAACTATCACCCGCAAGCAAGGAGGCTAAAGAAAAACAGAAGGCAGAGGAAAAGGCTAAAAAGGAAGCGGAACGAAAAGCAAAAGAAGAGGAGAAGAGAAAGCGGGATGAAGAAAAAGAAGAGGAACGTAAATTGAAAGAAAAGGAGAAGAAGAAGCGTGAAGAGGAGAGGGAGGAGAAAAGACGCCAGAAAGAAGAAGAGAAACAGGCTAAAGAAGATGAAAAGCGAAAGAAGGAGGAAGAGAAGCAGAGGAAAGAGAGGGTATGTGACATGGCATCAGTATCGCAGAGAGTTAACCTGGCTAACAAACCTACTGTAGTCCCAGATGAAACTTAATGCTTTCTTCACAAAACCAAAGGCTACCCCCAGCACAACGACAGGAAACGAGACCAATTCTGCTGGGGCGACGACCAATTTGGCCTCTGATTCGGCCACCAAAGCATCTAAACCGGCCTCAGATTTCGAACTTGAATTTCCACCCTTCTTCATTCAGTCACACGTGAAGCTGGCTCCTAACCATAGGTTTGAGCGAGATTCAAGTGCATTAAGCCATGCCTGCGAGAAACTCGATAACCTCCGTAAATCCGACTTTGGACTTGCCAACGATGACATCCCCTTGCAACGGTATAACCCTGCTGAGTTGTTCCAGATGATATCATATAGGCGTCGCCAGGGTGAACCAGCAACCCCATCTGTGAAGGAAATTCTCCTTAAGCTTCAAGACCCCGAGCTTAATAGCATCGACCTTACGGATACGAATGGAACGGCAACCCAGGTAGAGAGGTTGCTTCGAAAGATACCCATGAAGGTTTTAAATTTCAGAGAAGATGTCAGACCTCCGTACCAAGGAACATTCACTAAACGATTGGAACAAAGGGCTGCCCGAAAGCTATGTCGAAATCCGTTCTGGCGGGGCGTACCCGATTTTAATTATGATTATGACTCCGAAGCAGAATGGGAAGAGCCAGAAGAGGGAGAGGATATCCTTTCTGAAGGGGATGATGAAGTCAGCGATGATGGAGAAGATGACATGGACGATTTCCTAGACGATGGAGAAGACGAGTCAGCCAATACAAAACGGAGAATGATTGTTGGAGATCTCGAGCCGAAATGCACAGGAATATGCTGGGCTGAGGACAGCGCTGACAACCCAATAATAAATCAACACCGAATGGAAATTATATCAGGTATGGCCAGGCTCACATATGTCTTACAGGGATATATCAGAACTAACCTATCACAGAAAATATAACATTCCCCATTGACCCCTTTTCTACTCAATATTGGGAGACCAAACCGAAAGTATCTCCAGGGAATTCGGCTTTCAAAGTTCCCCATAGGCCATCCACAGGCAAAACACCTTCATCAAAATCACAGCAACAATCATTATTATCACCTTCGTCGGCTGCAAAATCCTCCAAGCATCTTACTCCCATGGTGGTTGTACCGGTCAGCAAACCTAAACCACGAATTCAATTCCCAGAAGATAAGCTAGATGAATTCAAGGAAGCTGTTTCAGGAAGCAACCTAACCAAAGCTGGATTGATTGAAGTTTTGAAGAAAAGGTATGCTTCATCCTCCACCTTACCTTGAATTCACACTGAGAGCGGAGATACTAACCATATATATCTGTTCGTTGTCTAGATTCCCCAAAGTGTCCAAAGATGTCATCAAAGAGACTCTCACCATCCTCGCAGCCCGCCAGGGTCAAAAAGAAGTAGACAAAAAATGGGTTCTGCTTTAAATATTTATGATTTTCTCAATGTTTACTTTCTTCACCCCTAACCCTATGAAGATTATTTATATTGTTCCTATACCCTATCTTCTATGGCGAACTTCTTGTCATTTTGACTATGTCATGCTCGTGTCCCCAGACACCCTTTTTCCAGCTTCGTTGGCTGTTCATATACCCTGTGTCCACGAGTAAGTGGCTTGCATCTTTCGATGTCGTGAGCATTTTAATTGGCAGCTCGTTTTGTTACATATAGATAAGATTATCTTACATATTAGATATCCTGGCAATTTGCATGTATCCCTACGCTGTTTTTGAGGGTATTTATCCTCATAAAGTCTGAATGAACAAGTTCCGTATCATTGCAAGCAACGACCTGAAGGTCGCATACCTTCTTCCATGTTTCAACATTGCTGGGGCAACTATAGTAATAAGTAGAACGGCCTTGATCTATATAGGGTAGACTACCTAGCCCGTCCATGATACCACACTCATCATGGATAGCCATTTTTTCCAACATTTTTCTCGGGAGCTCATTGCCGTTTAGCGAGCCAATCCCAAGATATCTAAGTTTACTAAGGTGGGCTTTGAGTCATCTCCTGCGCTTTCATATATCTCCATGTTGATCCCAGGAAAGATGTTAAGAGTTTGGATTAAAGGATCGGCTCTAGATGCCCCTGGCGTGTAACGGCATTTGTGGACAGATCTGACGAAGTTGCGGCTGGAGAGATACAAGGTATAAAGGTAGCCGTGAGGTCTTGTCGTATCTTTGGATGCGCCTAGGTAGGTATAGAGGCCACACCTGGCCATCTGCGCATGAGGTACTCTCTGAAACTACCCCAAAATACGTTGCATGGCATGATAGCAGCAATATCGGACTGTGTTAGCAGGAATTCAATGATCGAGCACTCCTAGATGTAGATAACCTAGATATTTTATACTCCCCCTTTCTTTCTGACCCAGATATTGCCAGACCAAGTGGTGATATTGGTGGGTCATCCTCGTAAGAAAACTGACTTAGGAGCATCAGAGGCGGCAGCTATCACCTCACAGGAAACCAGAAGCATCTTTGTGCTAGGTATAGGTCGGGGATACTATATAGCTGTATTTATTGCATCCATTTTGTTAAGCGAAGTCGATAATATAGAGTTCATACTTTGTAGAATATAGAGGGATCTTCTTGCCAGCTGCATAATCAAGTTGAAGTCGCTTAAAGGCTGTCATGGGAAGACTGGAGAAGTCCCAAGGACGTAGTTATTAACGCGGGTATCATGTGTCGAGTACACCGACTCTTTCCCGACTTTCTTCGCAGAAGTTGATATAAAGACGTTCCAGAAGAACGAGTAAGCTTAAACAGACGTCAACGCCTCAACCTCACCTTCCACGACAACGACGACGACAGCAGCAGCAAGACAACGACGGCCAGCTACTACAACAGTTACCTGGGCTGCGGGACAGCCACCAAGGAGAGAGACGTGGACACCCAGTAGTAGTGAGTACTTCCTGTTGTCCTGCTATGACATCAGATGAGAGACCACATGAGCCGACGGCTCAGCAGCGGCCTGACACCGTGGAATGCCTGCCTGACCAGTTACAGATTCCTCATCGACCTGAAAGCTGAAACTGCTCCGTCCTATCCGCCAACAGCCCTCTTGAGCCTCTCTGCAACGGCGTCTGAGGCGTTCAAGGCTCAGCTGCGAATGTCCCATAACTTGGCCACTATGTTGGCTAACTAGCTAACTTACTCCTCTGCGACTAGTTAACTGCCATAGTCTGCTCAGGTCAAAATTTACGAAGAACAAGTCGCCCTTGGACAAAAAGACGAGCTAGGCGTCCCATTCGCCATCTGGATCGATAGCCTGTCCCGTTGCTCCCCCAGAGTTTGTTTTGCTTTCATGTGTTTATGGTGGGATGGGCGTGGCCCAACCGGAGCTGGTATATCAGATGCAAGCGGGGCGCTAGACGTGGTGGAATGCATGCATCGTTGCCAGCTCATCGACCAGACCCTGTCACCATGCTAGTCGCTCATTTGGCGCATCTGGCTGCAGCTGCAGTAACAATGTATGGCCCTCCAGGTGTTTTGAATGCGTCTCAAGCGGAAAGAGACGGAGGGAATGACGAGGAGAGATAGGATGAAGACAAGAAGAGAATGAAGAAAAACAAAAAGCAAAGGGCTGAAGAAGTACGGAGTACAAGAGAGAGGACAACAGAAGATGACGAAAGAAGCGATGACTGGGCAAACATTCGGACTTGAACATGGCAAACCCGTTACTTTTTCTGCTCCCCATTTTTGCTTCTTTTCACTCTTGACGAAAAAGGTCGTTTGATGCATTGGACCAACGACGTGGCAGAGCTGATCTGCGACCAAGTCCAAGACCGCCCAACCTATCTGCACGACGACACAAAGAGCGATGGGGATGGAGCCTATCGTGTCTTGAAAGGCCTTGTCCGCAACCCATCATTTACGAGGAGCATGGCAGTTACGGGGATTACACTCCAACACGGAAAATCTGCAAGAATAATGAATTCCTCTCCCTACCTTTTCCTTTTCCTTTTTCTTTTTTTTTTTTGCTTTCGAAAGAAGAAAATGCTGTGGATGACCCCACGAAACTAGAGAAAGCCTCAGCCGTCCCGCCATTAGGTTGATATCTTAGGGCTGTCAAAGGCTGAATATGTTGATATTGCTTCCGTGCCAGGCGGTGAGACGGGCAGCGGACAACGGGCAACGGGCAACGAAGGCATGGCCGTCTGCGCCTGTTCAACCCATGCAAAGCCGCAACCATGGCCCGGGATAGGAGGAGGAAAGTGAAGGGAAGGGAGATGGAAAAAAAAAAAAAAAAAAATGAAAGCAACAAAGTGCAACGATCTATTCTTAACCATCTGCCAAAAACGCACGGAATTTAAGCCGGGCCAGCACTTCTGGGGTGTGGAAATGAGGAGGGCTAAGTCTGCAGACAACCAACTCAAGGTGCAGCTCGAGGTTTCAACCGCCGGGTTCAACCCTGACCGTTGAAGTATGACATCGCAAAGCTCGTTGCCAGCCAGGCGGTTCATCGAGGTTTCCCGCGTTTCCTTTGACCCTGTTGGCATGTATCACCCTTGATCGCCACTACATCGAACATATTACCTACACGCATTGCATGGGGAGTTACTCCAGGGCGAGAAGAGCGAGCGCTGCTGCTCCTCCTCGTCCTCCTCGAGCTGCTCGTCCTGCCACCTGGACTTGTACGCCCCCTTACACTCTCTCACATGCAGGGAGAGAGACGACGCTGCCAATCACAGGGCGCTCCAGCACGCCGTCCTCGATCAACTCCAGCACTTCTAGGCGTCGCCTTTTGATCGGAGGGAACCGAGCAAGTAAGAAACGACACATCTCTAGCCACTCAAAAAGCCAACCCCCCCATCCTCTGCCCTTCTTGTTCCAACCCCCATACGCATACGGACCCAGGAGCCGCGAGAAACCTTGAGGAACAAACCGGCCAGTCGATACGGGAGCATCGCTGTCCCTCTTAGTAACGGGCCTACGGAGTTCCCTCACGTAGCGTAAGACTAGCAGCAGCAATAATCGTGATGGGGCGTAAGCAAAATATGTAACCAGCAAAGAAGAAAAGAAAAAGAACGCAGTCCTTGTCAGGCCAACGCACTCCCCCCTTAACACGATCAGGATCCCTTTGCCGCTCCGCTGCGCTTCTTATACACATGAAGAAGACCGCCCCGGGCAGCGCAGAGAGACAACTCCGTCTCCCTCGTCAGCAGCCCAGCAGTCCCTGTCGTGTCTGCAGGAGTCCTTTTTTTAGATTCTCCCCTCCCCCCTATCCATCATCCCATCCGCCTGCGCTGGTTGTCTCGCTGCTGCTGCTGCTGCTGCTGCTGCTGCTGTATCTCCTTCGCGGGCCAACTCATCAACCGCTAACTCACTAACCAGACCAAAAAACCACCCCACGCTGGGAACCAACTTCCAGCCACTTTCTGTCTCTCCGTCTCTTCGCTCGCCCGTCGGTTCTGCTGCTACTACTTCACTCCCTCAGGCTTCGAGCGACCATCTCGAGCCATGCGATAGTCTGCGTGGGTTCTGCTCTGTTCGCTCTGTCAGCTTGGGCGCTCGGGACTGCGACGGTCTCGAGATCGATGGCCCTGTCCTCGCCCATGGAAATATGATCAGCTTTCAACACGCCTGTCTCCCTTCGGTTCTGGCGTATGCTGCTGCTACCGGTACGTCGAGATGGCCCTTCTGCGCTGGGCCTGCTTGTTGCAAAGCTTGCTGACCTGTCGGCTGTTGGTGGAATTCTATAACCGTAGCTCTCCCTCCATCGCCATCTAGTTCTCCGCCTAGATGCTATACCCCTACGATCACACCGCCAACAACAACAAGTACGACAACAAAAACAACAACAGCACACCCTACTGCCGACGCCGCAGAGAACGACACGCCGGATCCCCCCCGGTCAGAGCATGCTACGCCCCAGTCCGCTCGACGGGAAGACGACGGCTCCGCTGCCCGCGATGTTGCCCCAGAGCCTAAGGCGCCGGTTGATCCACTGGTTGCTGGTGTAAGTGCCCGCCTGGAACCCCTGGGACGTGAACCAAAAACCAAGGAGCAAGAGCAGAAGGAGCCCGAATCCGCACCTGAGGCCGCCGTCAAGGATGAGAAGAAAGCTGAGTGCTCGTTGAAGATGGCTCCCGAACCCATGATATCGGTCTCCCAGTTTGCCCACCAGTTCTATCTGCAGAGGTATCAGGAGGCCCAGAGACGTGCCAGCCTTCTCAGGATCAGTGACCTCCACGTTTCCGTCCATTACTCTGCTAGGTTGCTCCGTGTTGCTGCCGTATCGCACAAGGGTCTAGTCGACAGCCTTCGACTTGGAGACAAGTCCGCATTTGCCTCGGTCTACAACGCCGTCCATGAGATCCGCGAGGTTTGTGAATCTGCCGTTCGTCGCAGCATTCTCGACCATGACCCTTTGATTGGGACTGGCGCCCTAAAGGGCAGACCACATACATTCCTCCATAGACTCTCCGCCGCGTCAAGGGCAGACCTGCTCGAGATTTTGACCCTTGTCCGTACTGATTCACAGTTTCTATTCGAGTGTATCAGCAACTTGACTCCCTCCCAGCTCTCTGCTCTCGTCAGCCCCGTCCATGCACTGGAAATTAGTAGTCCTTCTGATGCTAGAGGTAGAAGCCAGCCTTCATCCTCTTCCTCGTCCTTTTACAAGCGAGGTGCTACTCATTCCCCTGCTTTCAAAGACTATGCTTTTTCCTTTGAGCGTACTGACCCGCTCTTTGCGCTTCTGTTTAACGTTTATTCCACCACTTTGGACCCCGATTCATCGGAAGCCCAACTGCGCCTAGACGTTTGGTCCTCGACTTGCGCCAAACTGATCTCCCACGGAGGCAGTGGAATGTATACCTTTGTTGGTCATCTCCTCAATATTTGGTCCGGACTCGGTGAATGGAAGGCCAAAGCCAAGTTCGAAATGTATCTCATGGACATACTACAGAATGGAGCTTTTCTTCTCGAGTCTAACTCCAGACACTCGGATATGGATGGCGATGCCTTTGATCCCATGAAAACAGATGTTGCTGAGCAGTTTTTCAGAACATCTGTCCAAGCACTGTTTGAAGTTCTCGATGATTCGGACGGCGGGTTCCCAGCCAGGTCCCTTGAGTTTGGAAGAGCCATCATTGAGAAGCTCGGCGTATCAGACACTTGCCGACGGTTTTTAGGCTACGTTTTCTACCAGTGGTTCTTTGGCAAATTTGTTCACAGCGCCATGTGCTTCCCTGAGGTTTGTTCTCTATATGTACCATGTCTATTTCTTAAAGCTGCCCTGTCCTAACATTTTCTATTAGAGCCATGGCCTTCTGCTTGACTTCCATGTCACCAAGGACGCCCGGGAACGGCTCCTTGGACACATCGCTCTTTACGCCCAACGTCAGGTTTCCCACATTCTCCAGTCGCTCCCGCCATTCTCCTACATCATTCCTAAGATCAAGACGCATGTAGACCGCATGCTCTCTACACTCATCGATCCGGTCAAACATACCCCTGATACCACCCCGTTATCCTCTCATCCGGACTCTAGCTTGGCCCAAAGCTCCATGGAACAGAATAATGCAGGCTCAGTTATTCTTCTTTCCTCGAGTGATATGCTAACCATACTGGATGTCTTCTTCCCCAAGCCCCCCATTTCCGGCTCCCCCGACTTATTTTCCCAGCAAACTTCATTCCCTTCCTCACCAGCATCAACCTTCTTCCCGCGATCGGGCCAACCACATCAGTCTTATGAACCAGGTCTCTTCCAAGGAAGGCTCGACACCCATTCATATAACCCACCTACCGCTAAAACCATGTTCACCACCGAGATAAGTTTCCAGGATGTCACAAAATCCTACTTTGTACGACCCAGCAAACCGTTAACACCGGAGTCGCCCAAGAACCCCCAGATCCGCAAGGCGGATCGCATCCGCGATGAGATTTTAGAGATTCGAGAGTCAGAGGATCGACCAACGCTAGACCACCCTGCAAACGAGGATTGGGCGATGCTCTCTGTCAGCGGCAGGAAGCCGGTAGGTCTGTATGCAACCGATACCGAACAGTCTAGCCATCAGAGCCCTGCCTCTAGAACCGAGCTGCTCCGCAACCAGGACAAAATCGAGGCTGCCGTTGTGAAGATTGTTCACGAGTTTGATTTCCCCCAAAACCAAGCCTTTGGCCAATCGTCAGCACCGCCCACTGCGAATGGTGAACTCAGCCTGAAGAAATGGTTCCTTCATGCAATGGGAATGTGCCAGCGAAAGTCTGACTTTTCTGGTGCCCATTTCTGGTGGGAAGCCTCCCTTGCTTTGCGTGACGCATACGCGGAATTAGGGCAGTCTGTGGCAGACACCAAGTACCTCAGTCCCATGTATCGCTCCGTTACACAATCGGCAGACCTGGACTCGAACATGATTCAACGTTGTGAACAATCATTTATTGACCTTAAGAGAAAGATGGATCTTCTTCAGTCCCAGGTTAATAAGACCATGGGCATCATGGCACAGCTCCGAAACAAGATGTGGTATATGACCGACGTCAAGAATTCGCTCCGCTACGAGGATGCAAAGAATGTGGCTTTGGCTCTGAAAAACATGGCCCTTGCTCAGGCTACGCAACCAGCCGCGGAATCCAGATCGAGGGCGGGAGCTCGAACTCTCGGTGGATCTTTCCTGCAAAAGCCCGAAATACAGGTCATGAACGTGATGCGAGCTGCAAAAAGCCAAGGAGGCCCCTTCAAGCTAGCCGATGAACAGGTAGAAATTACTCGGAAATGGCTCCAGCGCTTTGGAATAGATAATTTCTGCCGAGGCGAAGAACGAATTCACCGGTTCTGCTATGAGGTGAAAACTAGCGTAAACAAACTCGCTGGTGAGACCATGTACGATACCCCTGTCCTCTGGTCCAGTGAGCTTTTCCAGAGAGAACGATCAACATATGATACTCCTGGTACGCGGCCGATGAGCGGAAGTGTGCGTCCGTCAAGCATCGCAAGTGAAGATTCATTGGGGAATCCTATGCAGCCTCCTGCTATACGATCCCTAGATCAATTATTCCGGCCTCCAAATGACCTGCCGATGCCTCCACTTGTTCGGAAGTCATCCTTCCAGAGCGTTACTTCCGATAAGTGGCAGACCAACGGAAACGCATCTTCTATTAGCGACTCCCCTGGTAAAACTGTATCGACTGCTACTACTGATTCAATTTACCCCTACTGGTCCCCAATGCAGACCCAAACTCAGTCTATAACGAGTGCCTCCAGCCTTCGGTCTCGACCTCCGTCTATGTTCAGCGATAATATGTCTTACAGGCGTACCGAACATAGCTCTCATGGCAAACATACTTTCCTTGACGGCCTCAAGCGAAATTTAACCAGCCTACTGCTAAGCGACCTCGGCTGTCCCGTTTGGAGCTGCGGATCGGAAACCGACGCCTGGTTCTCTGTCTACTTGAATCAACCTCGAGTACAGAGCCAGATGGAGAAACGTACACGGCTTGACAGGTTCCTATCGCAATGCTCAACTTCACTGATGGAAGAAATCCGCGAACGTGACGTTACTGGTGGAAGGCTTCGTCGAAGTCGTTCTACTCCGTCTCTGGGATGCAAGGGGCATTCAACCCAGAAATCCAAGGAGAAAAGCATCATCAGGGGAGAAGTGGATGGCGACTACAGCTTCGGATACGAGGAGGCATTTGAGCAGCTGATGGACAAGTTCTCCCGTCCAGCCAATCCGTACGTGAAGCTGGAAGCACTGCACGAGATGTGGACTCTGGTAGCGACATCTTTGAGCAGTAGCAGAGACACTCCTTCGCTGAGTGAAGCGCGATTACGCCATTCGATGGATGGAATCCACAGACGTAACAGCCTCCAGACCCGTCAGCAACGACGCAAGTCCAGCGATGACCAGACTCCCACGCCCTCCTCGCCTGGCCTTAGCCCTGCTGAAGCTCCTTCAGGCCTCTCGATAGATGCAGCGATGAATGAGACACAAATTACAAACACACTGCGAGATCTTATCCAGAAGTATCAGCCCCGAACCCTCTTCCGAGACTTGCAGTTCATCTCTTCCTTCGTTCCGTCCGACATCCTCAACAAAACCGAAAGCGGGACTGCGTTCCTGCAGTTCAGTCTTGCCGCTCTCAAGCTCAAGGACGACGTCTGCAACAGTATGATTGAAATCGCAGACAAGATTGTGTGTGACGAACTTGCTCAACGACACCGGCACTCACATCCGATCTCGTACGACTTCTCCCCCAAAGTTGGTAACGGGATCAAAGACGCAGCGAACATGTGGATTGTCACTGCCCGGGAAGGCAACCCTGTTGCTCAGCGAGAGCTGGCAATCCTGTACCTTACTCACCCACACCTCCTCCGCCCCGTCACACTCCCTCTCACTAAGCCCGGGGACACTTTCAAAGCCGAGGTGATGTACCGGCGAGACCAAGATTCCAAGTCTGACCCCCAGAATATGTGCCTGGCTCTGCACTGGATGCAGCTATCGGCCGCTGGAGGCGATGAACTGGCCAAGAACTGGCTCAAGGAACGGCAGGAGTTTGAATCTATCTCTTGATATGAATGATTTACGACCTATTTATCCAGCAGTTTTGTGAAAAGGGCTTTGTGTTATTGTGCTTTCGAGAAAGAAAAGAAAAAATATCTCTCCCATCTGTTCTATACCAGCTTTTTTCAACCGCTGTTTTTTAGTTGCATTCCTTGACTCTGTTCTCTATGCTTCTTTTGTTTTTATTAAAGATTCGCCATATGTGTCTTTCTAATTACCCCCTTTAACTATACATGCAGTGCATGGCTGTTTTGAAACCCTCAGCTGCTCTTCCTTTCTCTTCTTTTCCTTGCCCCCTTTCTACAATGTTCGTTACTTGCCGCCTTCAAAGAGAAATGATTATTCCAACCTCTCTTGCTATATGGCCTGCCAGTTTGAGAAAAGACCAAACATATACCAGCCCTCGAGTTCACCGTGCCAATCGTTCCCTCGATCTTCTTTCTTGTTTTCTCACACCAACTGTCTCAAGTATCTTTTTTTTTGATTTCCTTCAGTTTTGGGAGGCTCAGATCTTGCTATATATTCATGTCTGCATTCCTTGCCTCGTTTTTTTATAGGTTATATTCCCACCCCCTGCTATCCAGTTTGCTTGGAGCCCATGCTATATATTTTTTTCTTTTTCTTAAAAAAAGGTGTCTGTCTGTTGCATTTCAGCGTACGGCAGTTATTCTTGTCCCTTCTCTGTTTACTCCCTCTATTCTCCTCCTCAGCTTTGTATGTTACTGGCAGCAGATGATATGGTACGGGGCTATCTATATCTATGTCCACCTTGTTATGTACTTGACCACGCCCGGTGACGGCAGGTCTGCAGACAACTACGAAGGATACATCCACGTTCCTCCTCCCGCGCGTCTCCAGTATCCTCTCCTATAGTAGAGCAGCGCTATAGCTGGCTATTTATAACTGACTGTATATGGGGCATGACCAGCCTTCATTCATGTGCTGCAGCGGAAAGCCCCTTTTGCGTGACCGCATCAGGAACAAATCTAGTTACGTCATATTTCACGTGAGGCGGCCAGAATAAACAGTCGAAAGTCGGTTTGCGATGCTCGAAAAAAGTCCGAACGAGAAGCAAAGAAGACGGCAGCCAGCAGTCAAGCAGATTAGTTGATGGCCTCACTTCCTCTCGGACTTTGTCGGTCGTTATAAAGAGCATACATCCAGTCGCTTGATCACCGTGACATACGAGACAGCCACATTGCGCCCAAGTGCTTAAGTTCCCCGCAAGAAGAATATCTAACTAGTTCGAAGCAACGAGAGACCCCTCCTACCGGTCGAACTTCAATTCGCCTCGACGCAGAGATCTCGTCATTGAAGGTGAGAATGATATGCTGGGATGGAAGAGATGACTGGCATGGCATGAGCTGACCTGTGTAGCAGACGCCCGAATAACTACATCTACCATACATAAAAAAAAAAAAAAAAAAAAAAAAAAATGTCTACGATGCAGGAGCAGACGTCGGCCGCCGCCCATCATGAGCATGAGACGGCACCACGGCCAAAGGGTATGCAATAACTATCTGGATGCTATGGCTATCATCATCTTGTAGACGACCCGTTTAACCAGCGAACCCTGTCCCAGGTATCCTCAAGTCTCCGGTGTCCATATCTACCGTCACACCAAGCGCAGACCCATCGCTAATGTCGCTATCGCCGCTCGAGAATAAGGAACTGACAATGCAAAATACAATGCAAAATGCCGGCGTCGGCGTCAAGCAGCGAGCTCGTGCCTCTTCCCATCGCAAATCCACCAGTTCCAGAGCCTCGAACGGCGACGAGGCGACGGAGAACTCACCCCGGCTGAAATGGGACGAGGCAAACCTCTATCTCACCGAACAAGAGCGGACTTCGACCATGAAGATCGATGAGCCCAAGACACCGTATGTGCCGCACTACGACTACAACGAAGAGAATGACGACATGGACCTCGGAGAAGACGACGTCGGGTTCCATGTTGAAGGAGTGGTGGTGGATGAACTAGATATGAACAAGGCCAAGAGCAAGAGCAAGAGCAAGTCAAGGGCGGACGACATACCCGATCTAGAGCTTGGAGACCCGGAAGAAGATACGTGGAAGGACGTCAGGGCGAGCGAGGCGGATCGGATCGTGCGAGAACGAAGTCTGAGCTTTGGAAGCACAGGGAGCAAGAAACGTGTCGTCGTTGGAGGGGACGACAAGGATGAGCATGATCCCACGCAGGAGGAGGCGCAGAAACACCATGATTTTGAAGAGAAGCGGAAGAAACATTATGAGATGGGCAATATCAAGAATCTCCTTGGGTGAGTTTATTATCGATATAATAATTGCTACTGTGAAGAAGGAAGCTGACTTCCGACAAAGACACCCTGAGAAGATAGATGTTGATGAAGACGAGGACGAGGATGAGGACGAAAACAAGGCATCTGCGGGTGCTCCGAGACAGCCTCCGGCCGTCCCTAAGATTCCCGAACAGTACGCAAAGCAGTCGCACTAACTAACAGGACGGCATCTCGCATGCTCCCTTCTCACCGATGTACAGCCTCTTAACCCCCCTTGATGAACTCGCTTGCATTTCATACAGTTACTTAGCATGTCTTCAACCCATCTTTTCTCCTTTTTTTTTTTTTAATCCCCGAGTTTTGATGTACCTAGCTTGCATAGTCCTTGTATACCAAATCGCAATTCCCCCCATGCTGATGCTAATTCCGTTGCAGTATATACACCATACGGAGTACCAGGAATGATACTCCCCATACCGGTCATTATTATTATTAGTTAGTCGAAGCACAGGCACAGATCTTCCAGGTAAGATTGACCGGGTTTCTGCTCCGTATTTCATCTTACCAAGGCCTGGCCCTCGTCCGTTTCATCTTCTCCTGTTAATCTCCAGTATCACCGTTGCAGCCACCAGGTAACATCTGCTACCAAGTTAACTATAAACAGCACCATTAACCACCGGCAGTAGCAGCTAGCGGATAAGTTCAACTAGCTAGCTAGTTCTCTATCTCTACATCTCTGCCATGCCCCTCTTGGCCTGCTAAGCAAGCGGAAGCCCTCTTTTCCGGCTGGTAATTAAAAACCTGGACTTCCAGCCAGGTATGCAATCTCTTGTGATACAAAACAAGGCTGCCCCCTGGCCTCCCTAGTGTCGCTGCTGCTAAGATTATCTCTTCTCTCCCTCAGTGTGCAGGAAAGGCCTGGCTGTCTCAGGGGTTCTGTTAGTTACTAGTGACTAGCCTGCTGGAGGATACTTACAGGACATGCAGAAGAGCCAGCATCAGCATCAGCATTAGCAGCAGCAGCAGCAGCAGCAGTAATAATAAAATATATAGCCAGACTGCCTGCGCTCCCTGTTATGCTAACTAATAACAAAGATCTTGCTATTATTTACACTGACTGAGTGCCGCATGGCTGCTTCTGCTCGCTGACGAAGCGACAGATTTTTTCCCTCTTGCATTAAATATTTAGACAAGACTAGAAGAAAAATATTTCCTTCTTTCTTTCTCCTTCTCTCCTCCATCTTCTGTATCCTTTTTTGCATTCTGGCTAGACAAGCTGGTGGGCTGATCAAGCCGTTGATAGCTGGAAAACGTGACTTTGCTGTTGTCCCCTTAACTAGGTCAGGAACTATCGAGCAGCAGGAGGCACAACAGAGAGGAAGAAGCTGACAATGAGATGACAGGCTGACTGACAGGCTGACTGACCCAGGGAAGTGAGCGCGAGACTCGGTCACCAATACAATGGACAAGACTCAGGAGAAGGTCGAGCAGCCTGTCGCTCAGGCTGAAGCTGCCGCAGCCGTTGAGGCCGAGAAGGTCGAGAAAGCAGTCGAAAAAGCCGACGAGAAGCCAGTCGAGGAGAAGAAGGACGCTGAACAAGCTCCCTCGAAGCCTGCCGAAGACAAAAAGGACGCTGAGCCTGCTGAGCAGGTCAAGACCGAAGCTGCTGGAGCTGCTGCAGCGCAGGGCAAGGCCGAGGAGTCTGCGCCGGTGGATAACCGTCCAGAGTACCTGACGAAACATGCCGGGCTCACCCAGCTCTTCGACCGATTGCCGGCCATCCTCGAGGCTACGGGCCACAATGAGATGTGGGGAGTGACCTTGAAGGACACAGAGGACATTCCAACCGTCAATATCATGATCAAGTTCCTTCGTGCCAACGAGGGTAACGTGAAGGCGGCAGAAGAGCAGCTTACCAAGGCCTTGGAGTGGCGCAAGGAGATGAAGCCCCTCGAGATTGTCAAGCACATGAAGTTCTCGGCTAAGAAGTTCAAGAACTTGGGCTTCATCACCACGTATGGCGTCGGCGAGGCCAAGTCCGTCTTCACATGGAACATCTACGGTGCCGTCCAGAACATTGACGAGACCTTTGGCGATCTTAAAGGGTAAGATATACCTCCGTATAACCGCCAATCTCTTCTTTTTGTTAGAGGTATATATGGCTAACCAGTATAGGTTTATTAAATGGCGCGTTGCTCTCATGGAGCTCGCCATCCACGAACTGAACCTGGACAAGGCAAAGACCGTCATCCCAGCCATTGGCGAAGACCCATACCAGATGTTCCAAGTCCATGACTACCAGAACGTTAGCTTCCTCCGCATGAGCCCAACCATCCGCAATGCCTCCCGCGAGACCATTACCGTCTTCAGCATGGCCTACCCAGAGCTTCTGCGCGAGAAGTTCTTCGTCAACGTCCCTACCGTCATGGGATGGGTCTTCACTGCTCTGAAGGTCTTCCTGAGCAAGAACACCATTCGCAAGTTCCATCCTATCACCAATGGCTCTGCCCTGGCCCGCGAGTTTGGTGAAGCTGGTGCCGAGTTCCCCAAGTCATATGGCGGAAAGAACGCTGAGTTGGCTGAAAGCAGCATGACTGTTGCTCTCATCGATGACATCTCTCAGGAGCAGGAGACTAAGACCGAGCCAAAGACCGAAACCAGTGCTGAGACCAAGGCCGAAACTAAGGCCGAAACCAAAGCTGAAGAGCAAAAGGCAAAGGAAGCTCCTGAGACCAAACCAGAGGAGGCCAAGACTGAGAATCCTACTGCTCCTGTACCTGTGCCTGAGAATACCACTTCTGAAGCCACCGATAAGCCAGCTGGCGAGACCAATGGAGCTCCCAAGGTCGCAGGAGAGACTGTCCCAGCCCCCGCCCCAGCCGCTGCCCCGGCCAACTAAACAACAAACAACACCTGATACCCCTTGGGCGGTAATTTACTCTCCTATTCTAATACCCGTCAGACTCGCTATCATGCGTAACATGACACTCCCTTTCTTCCTTTTCCCTTAGTAAACTAAAAATCCAAACCCAAAAAAAAAAAAGAGACAAGACTCCTAATACAACTTTTCAGCAATGCGAACTGGACTTTCACATCACCTTGTCGCACGACAGCCACGAACTAGGTGCAAATGGAACGACGACATGCCGGGGGCTTGGTGTTGGTTGGTAGTTTGCTATTTGTTGATTTCTTTCCGTTTCAGAGCGCCTGGTTTATAGATACCATAGGATGTCCTTCAGTCGTGTTAAATCTCTACGGGTTCAACTCCTTGTTTTTACACTAGGTAGTAATAAAATAAACTGTCTCCTCTTTATATATGATCGTCGTCTTGTATATTTCATATTCTAATGGTTACAAGACAAGTAGATAAATAAAAAAACAAAGGAAAGTCTATAGGCGATAAGCGCCAGACGCCATAAGCGCTACTTGCCGCGCTTCTTCTTCCAGCTCCAACTTTTGCGCATCGGAAAAGATATTGGAATGTCGATGATGAACAGGACGAGACAGTCGGCGCAAGAATAAGACGATGACGAGCTCGTGCTGAAGCGATCGGACACACCCACTGCTGCCTCAGCCTCACGGCGGAAGATGCAGCATTTCTCACCTGCGACTTCACCCAGCAACACATCCACCGAACGTTAACCAACACCAAGCTCAGCCGCCGCCTTGCGCATCTCCAAGCTCCCACGATGTCGCTCTGGAACCCAGATAACATCCGTGATGTCGCTGAATCCGTCGGGATAAACTCGCTGAACGACGATGTAGTCGAGAACCTATCCCGCGACGTCGAGTACCGCATTTCCCAAGTGCTGGAGGAAGCTCTTAAGTTCATGAGGCACGGCAAGCGAACACTGCTCACGACACAAGACGTATCGAATGCGCTGCGAGTGCTGGACGTCGAACCGCTATATGGCTATGAATCCGCGCGCCCGCTGAGGTTCGGCGAGGCGACGATAGGTCCCGGCCAGCCGCTGTTTTACGTTGAGGACGACGAGGTTGATTTTGAGAAGTTGATTAATGCGCCACTTCCAAAGGTGCCTAGGGAGATATCCTTTACCGGTATGCTGTTGGATTGGCTCTAACTTGGTTTGCTACGTATGTACTAACGATGGACGATGGGAGTAGCGCACTGGCTAGCCGTCGAAGGCGTACAGCCTACGATACCGCAGAACCCTACGGCGGCGGACACACGGCACCTCGAGCTAGTATCCAAGGGCCCGAATGCGAACGCCAACCTGGCTGCTATGAGCGGCAATGAGAATGTTAACGTCAAGCCATTGGTTAAACATATACTCTCGAACGAGCTGCAGCTTTACTTTGAGCGGGTGTGCAATGCATTCCTGGACGAGTCGAACGAGGAGTTCCGCAACTCTGCGTTTTCAAGCTTGAAGGAAGACCCAGGCTTGCACCAGCTGGTTCCGTACTTTGTGCAGTTTATATCAGAGAAAGTTACGCATAATATCAAGGACATCTTTGTCCTAACACAGGTGATGCATATGATCGAGGCCCTGATACGGAATCCGACATTATACATTGACCCTTACGTGAGTTTTGCCGCCCCCTAGTTCAAGGGAAAAAAAGGCCAGGCAAGGTAAAAACATGACAGGCTGACAAGTGGCGTGTGTAGGTTGCACCGTTGATTCCACCGGTGTTGACATGCCTTATAGGCCGCCAGCTCGGTAGCAGTAACGACGCAGTAGAACACTTTGCACTACGAGACCTCTCGTCGTCTCTGGTGGGGATGATAGCGAAAAAGTACTCGCAGTCTTCACACACTCTCAAGCCCCGTCTGGCACGAACGTTCCTGAAGACCTTCCTGGACCCTGGTCAGACTTTCGGTGCCCACTACGGTGCCATAATTGGGCTCCAATCCATTGGCGGCCCAAACGTCATTCGCGAGCTGATTATCCCTAACCTGCCCGTGTACGAAGTCGTGCTGAAGGACGCCGTGACGGACGAGGGCCTTCGGAAAGCAGAGGCAGAGAAAGTGACGGGGGTGATCATTGCCGTGCTCTCGACGATCCAGGACGAGTCTCTCGCCCACACAAACGGCTTCTCGGACGCTGCGGCAGAGGCGCTGGGCAAGGAGCTTGCTGCAAAGGTCGGCGAGCTGATTGCCTCCCGCATCATCGAGTCTGGCCAGCTGCCTCTCGCCAGGGCGATTCTCGAGAAGCAGCAGTGAGCGATATTCCGGCCATTTCCTTGCTTTTTCTCCTTTTTTTTTCCCGTTTCTCTCTCCTCTTCTTAATATCTCTTGTATTTTTTCAACGGACCGGGGGACCTGGCTGTTTTCCCTTTCTCTTCTCTTTCTTTTCGCAGCGGAGTTTGGCTCAGGCCGGGCAAAAGGGACACCAGGCAGGATATTTGACCAAGCATCACGCAGCTTTTTCCAACCGTATCCAACACGCAAGAATAAAGTAATCTTCATCCGAAGCTCCACGATCGCCTTATTCTTTTCTTTTCTTCTTCCTCGTCGCCGTCCCTCGCACTAACTGCGGCGCTCCCCTTATATTTGCTTCTTCCTTCGCGCTTCTGCGTCATTACGTTATCCGCCGGCTGGTTTTCTTTTTTTCCTTTCCTTTTTTTTTGCTTTTCCCTGACACACACGAAAAAAACGAACTTTCCGCTGTCGCATGAACAAATTCTTCCTCGAGGGGCAAAACAACCTTCTTCTTCTCTGTCTTCACTCTCGCCGTCTCTTCTGCTCTTTATCATCAGCGTCTCATCCTCGTCTGCTCGTCACTGTCGTCACTATCGTCTCCTGCTCACTCATTGTCGTCGTTGCAAGTTGCTCACTGGCCGCCCGGTTCTCGCCGTGTCAATGTTTTGACTGACGGGCCTCCCATCACTACGCAGCTCTGAAGAGGACATTTATTAACCCTCCATGAGTCGTAAGGACCTGCTACGCTTCCTATCCAAGCCAGCAAAGTGAGTCTCCTCGTCTGTTTCTGCTCGCCGTGGTGCTCGTCGAGAGTGTGCTGACCCTTCGCTGCCAGACCTCGATAACATCCCCTACGAGAACGACAGCAAGAAAAAAACCCACTGGAAAAAACAAAAAAGCAATCCTCCCACGAAGAACAACAACCCGACCGGACACCCCGTCTTACCTCGTTCTTTGCGCCGGAATAGACTTATCTATCCATACAGCAGACATCCTCCTCTGCTAGACCCGATACTTTCACCGGTATCGGCATCTGTCAGTTCGAGGGTCACCGACATCTGATCACCATTCCGGCACTCAAAGCGTTCTACTTCCCCCTCTCCGCCCGCCCACCCTAACACCGTTAACCAGCGGTGTTTTGTCTCCCTGATCGAGCGAACAGTCTCTGCCAGTGTGCGGCCAGACCTCCCCCAGGATTTCGGGCCTTCTCCTTCTCAGACGAACACCGCATTGTTCGTCTGGGTGGCAGATTGTGCTTCTAAGTCTTGCTAGGTCAAGCTCAAGCTCAAGCTCAAACACACCACAGTCATCTGCATAATTGCAGTCAAAGTCGGAACCACCATCAACAGTCTCAACGAAATATAAGAAAAAAAAAACATAATCAAGGAAGAATTCCAGTCTCGGATATGGTCTACGCCGGAATTCCAAATCACTATACGGGATCTCCATCCTCGTATGTGGCACCGTCTTTGACTATCAATCATGAAGCCACTGTGGATTTAGACTCAACCAATGCATTCGAAGGTCAGTCTATTCAAGCCTTTTTTCCACCTTCAAATTTGATGATTACCGTTGCTAACTGCCTGAACAGGGCCTGAAAAGCTTCTTGAGGTGTGGTTCACTGCGTCTCCCGATGACCTCGCCAACTCGCCGGTTCCCAATGGACTCAAGGCTGTGTCGGCGGACACCTGGAAAGGCATGCTCGACCTCGTCAACTGCCAAGTTCTCTCCATTGTCGAGTCTGACGACGTCGATGCCTACCTCCTGTCCGAATCCAGCATGTTCGTCTTCCCTCACAAGCTGATCCTCAAGACCTGTGGCACCACTACCCTTCTGCACGGCCTGCCTCGCATTCTCGAAATTGCTGCTCTTTATGCTGGTTTCCCCAAGTCCAGCCCTCCATTGGTTGGCGGTATTACCACGGCAACTGCTCCGTACCGTGTCTTCTACAGCCGTAAGAACTTCCTCTTTCCCGAACGCCAGCGCGGGCCTCACCGTAGCTGGAGAGATGAAGTCAGAGCTATGGACAAGCTCTTCTTGGGCGGCAGTGCCTATATGATTGGCAAGATGAACGGTGAACATTGGTACTTGTACATTACCGAGCCGTTCACCTCCTTGACACCGCCTGCGTCCCCTGTCCATGAGACCGAAACCAGACAGATCAACTTTCCCGGCTCTCTCGAGAACGGAGTTGGGGGAACCAAGCAATGCGAGAGTGATGAAACATTGGAGATCTTGATGACTGACTTGGACGAGAAGAATTCCAAGCAATTCTATCTCGACCATGCGAGTGCGGTCGCAGAAAGTCGTTATCGATCTGAACATGAAGAAGAAAACGACGACCTCCTCGACGTTTTCAGCAACACTTCCTCCAACAACAGCGACGTGGGCTCTCCCCTGCCCTCGGAGCTCTCAAGCGAAGGCCACGCTCTTGGTACTGTTGTCAGCGAGGCCTGCGGACTATCCAATATTTATCCCGCCGACAAGCACCCGGGCTCCCGAATTGACGCCTACCTGTTCTCCCCCTGCGGCTTCTCGGCCAACGGCGTCATCCCTTCCAACGACGGTAAATCTGGCACCAACTATTTCACCGTCCATGTCACGCCTGAACCCCACTGCTCCTATGCATCGTTTGAAACCACCGTGCCTCAGGAGCAGACTGGCCGTGACACCGCTGAAATCGTCAGTCAGGCTGTGGGCATATTCAAACCAGGCCGTTTCACCGTCACCTTGTTCGAGGCGAAATCCTCCAAGGCTAACGCAGAGGAGCTTGGCCAGTCGTTTGAGGCGCGCCGTAGCACTCGTCTTGCCTCTCGTCGACATGGCAAGATGGAGAGCATCCCTGGATACCGCCGCGTTGACCGTATCGTCCACGAGCTCGACGGATACGACCTTGTCTTCCGCTACTACGAGCGTCTTGACTGGCGAGGAGGCGCTCCGCGTATCGGAGAGAACTACCCTTAACTTGCTACTTTTATTGTTAACTATTTCGGGCTTTTTCCTATTTTTTTTGTGTTGCGTTTGTATATCTGCTTTTCGTGCTTGCAACTCCACTCACATCGATTTTTGATTGAGTTGTTTGTTCCCTGGGTCCCGGACCGCTGCTTACTTTCTCTACTGTCTTTAACACTTTGGTTGGCTAAGTAGGTTGCATTTTTGACCTAGTACTAATGAAACTCTGCAACTACTGCAACGCTTACTATTTTTCAACATGCTTGAAACTTCCAGTAAAATGGATCTTTCCCCACAACGTAACAATAACCTCGTCCATCGAAAATTATTCAATCTGTTTTCTACGATTGACTTACTAATTCCTGACGAGACGTAACATCCTGATCGGGAGAGCTACAGTATCTTCTCCGGTACGATTCCAAGTATGAGATTTATCAAGGGCAGCCAGTCCTATTTGCGGCATAGGTATTATTTTAGTTGTCTCCTCTAACAGTTTAATGGAATTTTTCATCGCTTACGATGTCAGTTATATTGACTCTACTTCTTCAAAAGGCCTTGGGGAATTGGTATCGATAATATGTAAGAATCAAGGTAGCTAGTGGAACTGTCTTGAGCCTCACTTCTATTTTTAGGATGCTGACCCACAAAACGCGACATAGTCAACCAATAATCAGCCTCATCGTTAAGCATCAAAACTTTACTAGTTTACCTCAGAGGCACAGATGACAATATTTGGCGTTAAATAAATTGAAACCAACCTCTTCCGCCATTCGGTGAGTTGCGTGCGTTAAATAGATACCTCAATACCCTGCTAACCCGTAATTAACAATATATATAATATCGGGGAACCTTCTTGCCTTAAGTATGGTAGTTAGCTGGGTCTGACAGCATATTTATCAACCGATATCAATATGAATACCCACTTCCACTGCTATCTTCCCCCAACCTATCATTTATAGCTGCAGCTAAACATGACTGCCTACTTCCGATTTGGTTACTGCCTGCCCCCCGGGTGGATGCCAATATGGTCTACTATGAGTTACGCGGGCCTAGCTGAAAGTGAACAACGAGGGAAGGTTGTGTTTTCCTAAAGTTACCTAACTGGCCATAAAGCTAGAAGTACTCGAGATTGCTCAGTTTTGTTCAGCGAATATACGGATACGGATAACGACCTTCCACATCCTACTGTACTAGGCACAAATAGCACCCAGGAGCGGGGAATCTATACCGGAAATTTACGGCTCGCACGAGGGCAGCAAAGCGACGAATCGAATGGCGTTACCATAGAGGTCATGTATCGTATGTCTATATTTTGAAGGTATATATGTTCGTCGCTATACTTATATCCCGCTAACATTATGGCAGATAGACAACTCCAAGGTTTAGAGTGTTAAAGGACCTTGGCACTATGAAAGTTCGCACCCATCAAGGTTCTTTCCGCGCTCCACAATACTTAATTAGTTCATTTTCAACAATCAATACCATTTTATTTTTTTTATTTTTGGACAAAGCTTTAGCCACATAAAAGGCATTAAAAATATTTATACGGCCTAGATAGTATTAAATACGCATTGCGATATTGATTTACAACATCTCAAAACAGTAATAATAAACACTCTTATGCTCCACCTATCCCCAGCTTGCCGCAGAAGTTATGCCCCTTTTCTTCACATAATGGAGAATTTTCAAAATCCTTCACTCTTTCCCCGCGTTCCTTCCTTTTTTTTTTTTTTTTCTTTCATTTATTTATTTATTTGTTTATTTATTTCGAAAGAGGAAAGAGAAACTTTCCAATGGAACCTCCAAAAACGGCAGGAAGTACCTGCTCCGGAATATAATTTACCCGCAAATGTTAGTCAGAACTTAATTATTAAGCAAATCGGCAAACCTTCCTTCTCTGTCACTTCGTCATATCGCAAGCTCGTCCGAGTTTGTTCTTCCGTCTTCTTGTGTTGCTTCAAGCACCTTTGGCGCATCATCAAGATAGCACACAGTTTGTGCTTGAAAGGCCAGAGAAGGGAGCATCCTAGACCTCCATCTCGCCCAATTTTCACCCTTCCTCCAGCTCA